GAAATTTGCCCTTCTGAAAGGATCATTCAGTGAGCAAGGGATTAATGAGTTTCTCAGGTATGAAATCTTTAAGTGACTTAAATCTTTCTGTATCTAGGGCTATGACTCTTTAGACTACAAGCAGACTCTCCTGCACCACACAAGACTTGCATGGTTAAGGGAATTAAGATGAGAATTCTGTGGAGTCAGGGAATGTTTTCATTGGCAATTGCAGTAAAACAGTCATTACCTTTTTGTGGTGTGCAGAATTAAGTTGGCCATTTAGACTTAAGTAGTTTTAGTACAATATTTGAAAACAGAAGTAGACTTTGATGTTGAAAAATTCTGTTTCTCTTAAGAAATAACTTAGTAATGAATTCCATTTAATTCAGATAGTGCATTCTGACTAGTCATTAGTAATTGGAAAGTCCCCAGTTTGGGAATCACAGTGGGTGCTGTTGAAGTTCTTGAGGTTGTATATGTTGCTGTTCATCTTTCTGATTCAGTTTGGTCCTCTCTTCCCCCTCCCAACTTTCCATTCTCCTGGCACTTGATAAATTGATTGGGAGAGTTGAAACAGTCCATCCAAAAAGTCAATAACTCACTGCTCAGCACAAGTCCTGTGAAACTGCCTCTTATGTAGCTGGTCAAGAGCCAGTGGTGAGAAGAATGGAATAGGGAAAGGAAATGAAGAGGATGACAGAAGGTGGCAGCAGCACTGAAACAGAGCAACTAAACTTAAACTGTTACTTTAGTGTGGTCAAAGTGAAGTGGGAACTCTTCTTCTACATTGTCCTGGTTTATGGCAGATTTGGGAGAAAAATCCTAAAGGGGTTCTTTTAGAAAGTAAATTTAAGCAGCCCCTCCCCCAACTGGTTTGGGAAAAGATTTCCTTGGAGAGAAGTGGAAAAAACCTGTTTATTTAACAGGCAAAGCATTTACCAGCACGAAAAAAAAATGAACCATATTTAACAATAAAAGCTCTTGCTGCTCTGAAGAGATGACTAACTCAAAGTCCCCTCCCTGGGTTGCAGTTTGGCTTACTCAGTGTGTTATCATCCCTCCAGTGCTGGAAATGCCATGGCCCAGGCCCAGCCTGGTGGGCCACAGATGTGAGCTGCTGGTATTCTTCTGGGCTTTCAGTCCAGAGCAGGTTTAAACAGTTCCAAAAAAAAATGAAAAACCACAGTCCAGGGAACTTCTCTGCCTTAGCTAGCTAAAAGCAAAGGAAAGTGCTCTCCCACTGTCTGTCTGTTCTGCAGACAACACTGTTCAGGAGAAGGATGTGGGGGAGTAAGTGCAGTTTCTGATAACAAACTGTGTGCTGCTTCTCTCTCTCCCTTTGCTCTTGGAACCACTTTTAAAGGTGCAAAACTTATTTCTGGCCTAAACAGACAAATGGGGATAGAAGCATTATGAAGTCACCTCAGGACACACATAAAGGACCAGCTGCCGTAAATTATGCACGAGCCCTTGAGATCTTACATTAGAAGTGTTGTTTCCATGTTTGTCCTTGGAGAATGGCAGAGAAACAGCAAGAATTGCAAAAGCAAATACAACAGCCTCTCCCCACCTTGCCATAAGAAGCACATTAATTGAATGCAGTTCCTACTGGATTAATGGAATCAGTGCTATAGTCTTACCTGTGAGAGTGATCAGACTTTCTTCTTAATGCCAAAAAAAGGAATATTCTTAGGGCATCAGGTTAAAGTCAGGATACAGATGCAAGAAGACAAATACCAGGTGGTTTGTACTAATGCACATGAAAGTGTCCGCCTTTGTGAAACATGGCAAATTTTCTTTGTCTATAAAGTCCATCTTAGTGAGGCCTCTCCTGGGTGAGGCTGGATGGTGCTTCAAGGACACAACAGCCAATTTAACAGGTTATATTGCATTGGGTAATTGGTTTGGTATTGTCTTATCATGCAGCACTGCTTGCTAGAATAATCTCTTACTGCCAGTTCAGCTCAGGTATGCTGCCTACAGAAAGCAGTATAATCACAGCTGGTGTGGCTGGCCATTCCCTCAGCTGATGTAGGCAGCTTCTGCAATCTAATAAGCAGTCTCAGCAGTGTTGACTACAAGTAAGGAAATTGGCACTATGAAGAGCAGAAAAACTGTGAACTCTATTTGGGGAGGAATGCTAATTCAGTCCTACTTGCCTCTGAAAGATGCAAAGGGATTAGCTCCTCAGGATTTTAATGCTGGGCTTTTTGAGCAAGTCTAACTAGCAAGCTCAGGATGGAGTGTCTAAAACAAAGCTGGTTACCTTGAACCCTGTGGAACCTATGGAGGCTGTCTCCAGTAAAGAAAATCACTGGTGATTTTCACTAACATTTGCAGGTGACTTCCAGAACTGGAATTACAGGCTCCCCTTGGAGTTGCTTTAAGTGATAAACTGTTAAAGAGGCTGCATTGATCTGATTTTCACACTGCTGAACTATGAAAAAGTGTATCTCACAGATGTCTTTGAATCCACTTGTGAATTTTCAATGCTGCTTTAAGGACTCTGTCATTTTCTGCTTCTTGAAGTTTTTGCATTCAGACAGTTTAGATCTACTTAAAGAGATGAAATCTTGAACTTGTATTCCTCTTATCTGAAGCAGGCTCTGTTCCAGGTGGCTGGAGGCTGGAGGAATTCCTTAAATTTAACTTCTATTTGTTTTTTTTCAGGGAACTCTCCGTTGGTCGTGGTTCTACAGCACCAGTCGGTGGTGGAGCTTTCCCCAAAATTCATTCAGTTGAACCTTGGGATGGCAAAGATGGTGAGGTAAGAGATACTCCATTTCTGAAAGTGCTCAGCAGTGGTGTTCAGGAGTGACAGGATAGAGTAACTAACAGCTGTCAGTGTGAAAGTTCCTGTTCGAACAAGATTGTAGCAAGTTGTGTTGATGGTTTCCCCTTATCTTAATCCTGCCAGCAGACCAAATGGTACATTGATCATCTGACATTGCAGCCCAGATGTTCCTCCTGCTGTTAGGATGTGATCTGAAAGCTGGATCACTTGAGGCAGAAATGTATTACCAGTGCTGACTAAGGGAGGTGGTAGTGCATGCATTCAAGACCCCCAGTGTTGTGGAGTTCTGAATATGCTGACCTTGCCATCAAGGTTTTAATGCCAGAAAGCTTGTTAGGTAAAGCCTGTGTAATAAATAACATGGTGACCAAGTCTGCCTTCTTAAGGTTCAACATTGGTGTAAAAACCAAAGTTACTGCAGTGCTTTGATCTACTTCAGGTAGATAAAAACACAGAATAGGGTAGTAGTTTTGTTACATTGTTTATTTGTATAGCCTTCATCTGGAGTATTTTGATTAGTAAAAAACCAACCTCCTAGTCTAAACTCTGATCACTTGTCCTGTGCTTAGTGCACTTGGAGTTCTGTGAATGAAAGAAGTGACGGGAGAGAGCTTTACTCTCAGGATGAAGTGAGAATCGTTCCAACTCAGGGGTCTCCTGGCATTAAGCACTTCTAAACATGTACTTAAAACCTTCCCTTTTTAACAGCTTCCAGTTGAAGATGACATTGATCTCAGTGATGTGGATCTGGATGACTTGGGTAAAGATGAGCTGTGAGATCTTCAGGAAACTTCTTTTCTTGGGAGAGCCTGTGCAGCAGTTTGCAGCCTGGATCACAATCAGGCAGATATTTCAGTGGCCTTTTTCTGGAGAAGTAGCACATGACACACTGTGCTATTGGATACACTGCAGCAGTGGACTGTACGCATCTCAAGAAAACATTGCAGAAATTCTATGAATTATCATAACCAGTAAACTTGATTGTATTGTGTAACAAATATTTTGAGGACAACATGGATATTTCTTTGGAACATCTTGGGTTTTATTTTGTTGATAATGTGCTGTTTGAGTGTTACTGGAGGCTGTTAGTGTAACCAATTTTAACTGTAATTTTTTTCATGGAGGTGGAACCTGCTCAGCTTCTGTTTCAATTAAAGAATAAAATATTTTTTGACACACAGTGTTAGTCTTGTATAGAGTAAGAAAGGTGCACATAGTACAAGCAGTCCCATTTTGGATGACTCTTCAAAGTGAACTTTAGAATAGAGGTTTGTGCAGAGGGGAGTCCTAAACCACCTCCTTGCTGTGAGATCTTGACAGTTTGGCTAAAAAGCTTGATAAGATGGACAATCTTAGTTTAAATGCTCTTCAGTCTTCCTTTTCCTGTTCCTTCTCAGGGGCTTTCTCTTTCTTTGTGCCAGGCTTCATAAGATCATTATAACAATGGAAGTGGGGTTGCTGCTGCAATGAGAGATGCTGGGAGCTGTCAGTCTTTCCTCTGGATTAGTGATAAAGCTAATCTGTGTTTTAGGGCATAAGGATAAGGATTTCCAGGTGCTAACAGACAACCACCCTGGTGCTGTCTCCAGCAAATAAAGTAATATTTCTTCACTTCCCATCTGGCATTGTTTTGATCTGAAATTGCTATTTCCTTTGGAAGGGGAATCAGGACTGTGAATAGGGATGTTTACTGCTGCTTTTTTAATAGAAATACCATTATTTTATTGCTCTCCATGTCTTGTGTATTGGTGTCTAGTGAAGTGACCCTGATGTGATCAGCTTGTTTATAAATAAGGAATGAAAGAGCTGAAAGATTCCCCTTCTTTCAAGGAAATAACATAATGTGGATATTTGTCATCTGGTGTCTGTAAGAGATTGCCCATAGTTCAGCCTCGTGAAAGGCAGTGTCAGAACCATGGGCAGCCAGCAGTAACTGCTGATTCTGTGCAGGAGATGTGCTCCAACTCTTAAATCATCCCAGCAGATGAGCGGTAATGGAACTGCTCTAACTGAAATATCTTTGCAAAAACTAAACTCATGAGTACTTGGGACTGTACGTCATATTATGATAAGTTCCACAGCACTTTCCTCTTAGGCTTTTGGGTTTTTTGTTAAATTAAAGGAACTTTGGGCTTTGCTCTGATGCTTTCTACTTTTTCTGTTTAGATTTTTTTAAGTTTGCTTTGTTAGAAAAAGAGGACTGTACACACCTAGTAGATCCATTAGCCACCATACTTTTTAATTTGTTTTATTCAAGTCCAGTAGATATTCCATCTTTGTAATTTACCAAAAAAATAAATACTACCATAGTACCTCTGCCTCTGAAATATGTTTTTGTAAAACTATGAATAAGAGATAACTTTTACTGTAGTCACTGTAAAAATTACTAGAAGTGGTAGGAAGATCATCCTGCTACAGTATTTGCATTTTAATTTGACTTTCAGGAGCTAAAGATTATTTTACAGTAACATGACAGTCTTGAAACTTAATAGATGAAGCTTGAGCAATTCTTCTTTAACTGCAGTCAAGAAGACTGAGGTCAATCTTGAAATAGACATAAGGATAGTATTCTTGATTGCTTAGTTGTAACCCAGGGATGTCCATGCCAGGCTGCAAAAGGAAGTAACCACTTTAGTTACCAGTAAACCTGCGCAGTTCCAAGCTCCAGGGGATTGCTTTTGTGCTCCTTTCCCACAGGTGCAATGGAGCTTTGTATGTGCCATGCTTAAGGTGAGGAATTCACCACTGAGAATCTGCTCTGCTTCTTGTTTCAGGTTGCCTAATGTAATTAACACTGAGAATTCATGCCTGTGCTGTTACAAACTTGTAGCATTTTTGCTACAGCAACTCATCTCTGTCTTCCCTTTGTGCATTGGGACCCATGCTTGCTGGTTTTAGGCTGTTTTGAAGGCCTGCTACCTCATTTATTGCTTTAGCCTAAATTCTTTTGAATTGTCATTCAAGATATGGGGAAGGAGAAAGCAAGTACTGCTGCTTGTTGAAGGCCTAGTTAATTATAAATGACAGCCTTTTACAGAGGACGGAGGTGTGACAGTCCTAGGTCTTAGTTCCAAATTAATTTTTCTTGCTTGTGTTGATCTGAATGTTTATAATAGATTTTAAGCTTTTTATGTAGGCGAACAGCCATAATTGAGCAGACCTGTTTTGTTCTGGTAGCTGTAAACATCAGATGCTTCAACAGAAAATATAAGCAATCTCTCTGCATCTGCATCATAATCTGAGCCTACCCACCTAATCCAATCCAGTCTGTAACCAGCTGGCATTAGAGCTGCATCCAGGACTCCTATCATTGCAAGATGGGAGCAGATGCATGCTCTAACCTCAGGACAGTGGAAGTGTTCATTCAGCTAAGCTGAGAAGCTACAGCATGTGCACTTGTGGTCCAAATACATACATCCATTATACTTGCTGCTGCAACTTCATCCAGGTGTTTGAAGACCACGTTCAGGACGTCTCTCAGGCGCTTCACAGACTTCCTGTTTGGCTGCAGCAGCATTGCTTGGAAATTCACAGGGAGGCCGTACCTTGGAACACAACATACCTGATCATCTGCTGGGAAGGGCCACAGCTGTCTGCTCGTGCCCTTCTCCCCCTCAGCCTCCAGACATGCCAGGTTGTGTGTTGCAGAAACAACACTGCCTCCTTATTGGAAAGCCTTTTCTTTTTGAAGCCAAAAGTCAACTAAACAGTGTCTTTCTGTTTTCCCCTGCCCTGTAAGTACCCCCAAAAAATCGTTTTTCACCAGATTTGTATGTCACCTTTTTTGTGTTTTGTGGACGTCTATATTGTCTGCTGTGAGCTTCTGGAATGGAGTGTGTAAGGCACACACCTCGAGCAAGACAAAACAAGGTGTGTAAGGGTTCTTCCCACAAAGAAACTGCACCAGGAAGAGAGCTGTACATTTTGACTTCCCCAGGAATCTCTGCCTGCACTCTGTGTGTACTCACCTCAGGACAGATTCAACAAAAACTCTCAAGGCTTTCACATGAATCCAAGCCACAAATGCTTCACTGAAGTTCACCTTCAGCCAGCGCAGTAAGGGGCCCTGTGAGACCAGAACAGTGCTGTGATCCCCTCGCTGAGTGAAGCAGCTCCATAGCCAGCACTGCCACTGAGGCCATCATGGACTGCTGGGATACTTCCCAGGCAGCCTGATAGTAGCTCCCAGTCTATCAGAAACTCAAGTGACCTTGGCCAAATCATTATTATTTTTAATTATAATAATTTTATTATTATCATTATATATGCCTCAGTTTTATGGGCTAAATGGAGCTCACCAGGTACAGTTGGAACCATAAAGCCATTTCCGAGAGAGGTGTTTAGGCATCCTGGTAGCAAAGGCTGCCACTATGTGGGCCACCAACTCACAAGGTGGTACTTACATATTGTTGCTTCTTGTCAGAAGCTAATTTCATCAGCTCTTCCTTTTCACATTTCAGTTCCTTTTCATCATAATAAAATTCTCGAACCATGAACCTACAATTGAATGACATTTTGCTCTCACAAGCCTTAGTCCAGGCAATGTGAAACTCATTTCTTTTTTCCGAGAAGCAAGTATGGGAAGTTGCTAGCCATTTAAGCCACTTAACAAGTTAAAGTATGGGGAGGGTAGGAGTTGAAATCACCCCCAGAAAGCCAGCAGAATGAGAGCAGAAAGGGCAATTCCAGGATCTGTAACTTGGAGCTTAAAGAACAGGATCACTCATTCTGCTACCACAGCTCCTTCCCACCCTGCCTTCTCAATGGCTTTAGGACCAACAGAAACACAAGCAGTCAAGAAGTCCTAAAACCAGTGATGGATTCAGCATCCTGCACACACAACAAGCCTCACCTGATCCTCATCTCTTGCTAGCCTGCCCTGCCCAGCAGTCAGGGCTTCTTACCTGTTCTCCCTGGCTTTAGCCTTAAAGTCATCCATCACTTTTCTAAATAGGGTCACAGTGAAGAGTCCTCCCTCTGCATCCTCAGCAATCATTCTGTGGGAGGGAAATCCACTGCTGTGATTTGACATGGCAAATCCCTTATGCCTTTTTTACCTACCTCATCTTCCCCTTTTGCAATTCTTTCTATTTTCATTTATGATACTGAACAACACTCTGCTTTTTCAAAACCTCTGTGACAGAAATAGTGAACAACGACTTTACTTACACTGGCTACTCTATCTCAATGTAAAACTCAATTGGTTTAGTTCCTGAGCCCACTGAATACACACACATTCTGCCTGTCTGATTTTTCTGTGTTTCCTGGTAACATTCCCCCACCTTTACATGCACTTGTGTTTATATCACAGGCAGTAGACAAGACAGCTTGTTTCCTTCTCTATGCTTTCCACCTTCTGCATTTCAGGTAATACCATGGTCAGCTTTTGTGCCCTGGACTGGATTTCATAGTCTGCATGAGCTGAGTAATGGAATATTTAAGTCCTAGGAAAGATTTTTTTACCCAAGGTGAAAGGATGAGTTAATATGGTTTTGCTAGTTCAAATGACAGTATGCTGAATTATTCTATGCTACAACAGGAAGCAATTAAAAATGCAGATTTAGTGTTTCATCTTTTTATAAAGTACTTTCCATAAAGCTCTATATGATTGCATATGTCTGAACTATACCTCAATTAATGTAATAAATTGCCTGTTTTACACAAAAACAAGCAACAGTCTGGTTGAAAGTAAAAACAAATAGATTACTGGAAAAGAAAAGCTAATTGTAAAAAAACCTGACCTTTCTTTCATCTGTACTTTCCTTCAACAAACTAATTTCTATTTGAATTGCAAATACATTAATGTGGAGCCTATGCATTTAGACTAGTGATTTCCTCTAGGATCCACCAGTTTGAGGGGCTGAAACAAGACAGGGATCTCTGAAACAAACACAGAGCTTAATTTGGAATTTCACTTACTTGGTGGAGCGAGGTACTACCATATCTGAGAGTGATTCATAGGTCTTCTGCCACTGTACGTAGCTTGACCTTTGAGCAACACAAAGCACAGTAAATACCATATACTGGAAAGCAAATGTTGATATATGTAGTTAATTATGCTAATAACTTAGGGTAGAAGGGTTGAACTCTTTGTGCTTGGTTATGTCATTAAAATGCATTAAGCCTCTCCTATCCTTTCCTCTCCTAGTCACCAGCTGAGGAGATGCTTCCCTTAATACTATTGCCTCAGTCTTCACTTTGGATCTTGGCTTGAGGAACGGTCAGTATCAGGAAACTGATGGTGGGAAGAATGTGGCATATACTTCCAGGCTGCCACACAGTGTCCCATGCTCCAGGACCCCTGCACAAGCTGCTCTGGTCCATGGGTAGGTGTGCTACATCTGCTATGTGCAATCCCATAGCTGATCTGGTGCTAGACTGCACTCATGGTGAATGCCAGCCCTGTGAGAAAGGGAACAAGGGTATGGTAGGAGTTTGCAAAGAGAGAAATCTCTTTTTAGTGTGAATAAACTCACATAATGAAGTCAATAAACGTATGTCAGATAGCTTTTTGTAACCTGTTTCTCAGAGACAGAAGAGTGATGGTGCTGTATGTGTGTGTTGGGACAGGGCTATATGGAGAGGAAAAGTTTTGTGTAGGGCTCTGAGGAGAACATGGTGTAACTTCCCCATTGTTAGCAGTCATCCTATGTATGGCCACTTAGAAGGGTACAGCCAGCAGAGAGAGGTTGTGAGTTGAACAGGTCTAATTCCTTTTAGAGACTGGCTAGGCTGCAGTCAAAATCTGGTTTTCTTTTAGCTCATACTATTCCTATCAGGAGACTGAGAATCCACTCGTAACCATGAAGAACCCTCGGGCCAATTGTCCCGCTCCAGCTTTGGCACAGTCTTTATCTCCCTCTTTTGTGCTAGCACCACTCTTGGCAGAAATTGTTCTTTCTTCTTTGCTAAGGGCTCCACCTGTCTCCCAGCAGGGCACTCATGAGCTGCCCCAACCTGACCAGGTGTGGTTGTGGTGTTTAGGCCTGGGACTCAGTGCCACCCACTGCTGCCTTACTTTGGCACCACGACGAGCAGCGTGATAAGATACTCAGAATTGAGAACAAAGTCTTCTTTGTGCACAATGTCTGCCAGGGTCCGGGTCAGCAGATTTCCCCTACGGTGAAGAAGACAAAGTAAAAATAACAGTAGCAGGAACTCAGCAGTGGAACATTGGGGTCATTGTGCTGTTGGTAGAGATGCTAATCTATACTGGGGTAGAAGAAGGCCCAGGAAGAGGTGGCTAAAGGACACAGCTACACTTCTTAAATAGCTGTTTTGTTATTTTTACTGCAACTAAAAGACTCAAAAAGTAACTAATACTAAAGGACACAATATTGGTGACTAGCAGGAAGCCAGTTTATGCCCTTTATGTAAAACACACCATTCTGCTGCTATTGTTTTTACAGTAAGGGTGTAAATACTTGGGAAGTGCACATCTGCTCCCAGTCATCACCACATCTTGTGGGAAGCACCTGCTCTCTCAGGAAGCCTGTTGAGCTGCTTGTGTGACTGTGCTGCAGGCAGAGTGAGCCATGTATGTACAGACCTAAGCCATCACAGCAACCTGGCATTCCTGGACTGCTGCGGACCAGCACGCTGAGACACTCCTGCTGAACAGCAGCGAGAGCAGCAGTCTCATGCACAGGTGGGACCTGCAGGAGGTCTCCACACACTGAGCCCACCTGATCACATTAATTCCTAGGACATGTAGATAGCCAGGGCTGGCTCTATGTGGCTGGAAAGCACCAGGTGTGAAAAGGAGCTGCCCTCCCTGTCACTGGGCAGGAGTGAAGAAGGACCTAAACTAATAGGTTTGGGTTTGAGGTTCCCTGGGCCAGTCTAAATATTAACTAACTGGCTGGTAACTTATTCAATGTTTTTCAACCCAAGCTATTTGGCACTGGTGGACACCAGAGTTGAGAGCATTTAAAGATGGATGGAATGATGACAAGGAGGATTGTTCCTGGTCATGAGGTCTCCATTCTTCTCCCTCTGTAAATTGCTGGAGCCCTGGCCAGCAGGCAGCCACCTGTGCCCTGTGCCCAATCCTGAGTAGGAACAATAGTATATACGAGCATGTGTTGGGTGAGGGCTTGCACAGCATCATCTAAGTTGTTTTAAATTTACTACTTACTGGATTTTACCATTCTCCCTAGTAATATCCTAGAAAAAAAACCCAGGTGTCACCACTGACACAGGCAAAGACCATAAGCAGATGAAGACAGGAGAGAGAACATTTGGGAAGCCTGAACAGTGCATTACCTGAACCAACAGAAGAAAAAAAAAGAAAACAAAAATATAAAAGTGGGATGCTAATGAGGTGCAGGATCAAGCAAAACAAAGCTGTTTCCTTTGGGAGCTTTGCAAATGCTGTTCAGAACATAGGGCACAGCTCCATGTGGCAAAGGAACCCACCAGTTGACACAGCTGATCTAATTTCTGACTCCCTGAAGTCCCATCAGAGCAAAACAGTTGACTTTTTCCAAGACTGCCTGCTCACAGTGTCAATGAAATCCTATTAGGAACTTCAGTCTCCCTGAGCTGATTTTGAGATATGCTGACCACACCAGCTACCACCTGTTCTCACTGGATCTCTAAATGCTGAGCATGTTCTGAAGCTGGAAAAGTTGTTCCCACCAGAACACAGCAATGGGTGTGAGCACACACTGCCCGCATTTCAGCCACACAACAGCATCCCCAATGCAAAATACTTACATTGTTTTCTTCTCCAGGTTTTGCAAATTTCCTTTAATGTTGTTGTACGCAGCCGATCGGGTCTTCAGGTCTGCTTCTATTTGAGTCACTTGCTAAAACGAAGTGAAAAAAGGGAGTCAATGCAGTGCTTGAGGCCTTGTTCTCACCTCTGTCCCACAACTACCACCTTAACACAGAGACACAGCTGCCAGCTCTCCTAAAACCACTGGCCTGTGGCCAAGACAGCCAGGGTCAGAGCTCCCCTGGGACAAAGGCCTCTGCAGAAAGTAGGGTTCAGTCAGCTGTTGCTGTTGGTGTGCTAGAGCTGTACCCAAGGGGCATGTTCATGGTTTTATTTGTTACCTACATTGAACAACAGCACATCATGCCTTTCTGAACGAACTGACAGTGTAAATAATTCATTCAGCCTGAAGGCTTTTGATTTAATGTCAGACTAACAATTTCATGAAGAACACCTCTGTAGTGGAGAATATGGCAGTATGTAAAAAAAAAAAAGAAGAAAATGACAATGGAGGGGATTAAAGCGCACAAAACATCAATGTACTCTACTGAATCTGATAAAGGACCATATACTTACAGACTGAATAGATTTCAATATATGTATCATTATTTTAATTTTTACTGCAATAGTAATATCAACTGCTTCAGTACAAAGTGTGTGCTTCTGAGCTTGTTCCTGCCTAAACCAAAGGCAAAGGCTCCTCTCCCACCATGAGGGGAGGGATCACAACCAGTCAAAAGACACACTTCCCCATGCTGACATCTTAAAATCTGGAGTACAACTTACCTTTGCTAATGCTTCTGATATATTCTTCAGCGGCTGCTTTATGGGGTATTTGGCCATGTCCCACTCAAACCGTGTCAGGTAGCTAATGAGGTCAACTGAAAATAAAAAGAGATGCATGAAAGCAGATAGTGTACCAGATGGCAGGTCAAGCTTTGGGGAGTAGTCCCCAGCTATACCTTAGGCATAGCTCTGATTAACTTTAGAGCATTAACCAGAAGCCCATTTCTCAATTCTTACAGAGATTTGATCTAGATCAAATATGCACAGATCCTATGCCCAATCTAATCAACTTCCTAAACATCTTCAAAAGTTAAAAGTTAAACCAAAAATCTTTTTTGCATTACACCTAACAGTACAGAGAAAGTGTAAAATTATCTGTATCAGTGGGACACAGCAGTGTACAGCTACTCTTCTGCACAGTAAAAACAGTTCTGTGTAATCTCAATCTAGATTTCTGCAATATGCCTGAATTTAATCCCAGCAACAGCTATCAGAAAAATACTTTGTGCCTGGGATCAGCAGTAATATTCAGGGTTGCTGAGAGCCTGATCAAAGGTACTAAGACCATAGCAGATGTCACTTCTCTGTGATTCAGTCAAGTGCTCACTAGAAATCAAACAAATGCAGGTGTGATGAGGAATTCCTCATTGACTTCGCACACAGAGGTCCCCATTTCACACAAAGCTAGAAGCTATTTATATAATAGATAAATCCAGTCTCAGCATCCAAGAACAGAAATTCACAGCAAGGACCTGTGCATGCAATCCCCAAAACAAAGCACCCTTGGACCACAGGGACCCACAGCATCTTTCCAGAATGAAGGGGAAATGAACACATACAACACCCAGCTCCTAGAACAAGGTTTTCCTGTTTCACTGTTTGAAGATCAAAAGCTCTTAATGTTAGGAAACATTAAGGCTTACATTATGGTACCAAATAAAAAATTCTCCTCCAGCAGCTCATGAAATCAAACAGCTCTTTGTCTGAGTCCTGAGAGCCTTTGGATGCTGAACTCACCACTACAGAGTGTTCTTGCAGACCTTTCTAGGATGGGGTAAAGTCATGCATCCTGCCACAATGAGAAGGGCTGGAACTGCCCCCCCAGAAAGTTAGGGAGATAAGGGGAAGGCGGCAGGCAGGGTCTCAAGGTCTAGACAAGGAGGCCAGAAGCATGTCACCTAAAGGGTGGGCTTCCTTCCAGACCAGGAGAGTAGATATGGAGAATGTCTGGGAAGTTGCTCTAAGGTGATAGGGAGCAAAACAAGGTCAAGGTGCCAAGTAAAAGGACATGCATGCCGGGGCACTTCAGTGTTCTTTGCTGCCTTGTTCAGAGAGTTAATTCAGTCCCACAGCAAGGTCTGAGCACAATTTCTTATGGGCTAGACTTTGAGGTTTAGGGGAAAACTTTTTGAACCAAGATGCCTGAGAAGGAATGTGAAAAACTGTGTAATTGCCATACTACCAGGCTGAGGGTACTCTGCAGTCTCATGTGATACTGAATACCCTTGACAGGAGAGCACTATCCTTTCCATGGGCTTCTCTCACCCCACAACAGAGTCAGTTTACCCTATTAGATTTCCAAAGCATGGAAAATCTTATGTTAGGAGAAATAGGCTTCTTAGCAAGAGATAAACTGCCTGGAAGGCAGAGAGCACTTGCCATGGCAGTGTTCTCCCCCTCTTGCAAAACCACAGCTGTGTCAATGTCCCCCACATTCAATGGTAAAGAGTCATAGGGCAAAGATCCAACCCTTCCTGCTAATACCCCTGCACAGGGAGGGTGTAGAAAAGGGGCAAAACAGCAGAAGACTGGGAGAGCTATGACACAGCTGCTGCATGCTCAGTTCTCTGTTGATGCTTGCTCGTGATCTCTGTGGGGAAGGCAGACAGGTCAAAAATACTGCAGCAACAAAGTTCACACAGCATTTTCAGCATAGGGTACACAAGGATTTCACCCTGCTGCCTTTCTTCTAAGCTTGTGTGCTCAGGCTTTGCAGACACAGGCTCTTTAAAGACAGACACTGACCGATTTATAGCTGATGAAATATAAAAGTTCCCTGAAGAACCTCACGTGTCCTTTCTATCCTCACATTCCTTGAATCTCAGCAGCATCCAAATGTTGGGCAGTTGAGCACTGCATGAGTTCTCAGCCCAGTTTTTCAAGCTCACTCCTGAGTGAGCCTGCCAGTGGTAGCTGGCACTGGTGCAGGTTAGTTAAGCAGCCTGATCCTGGGGATGGAACAAACTACTGTGAACTGGCACAGCTGTGTTTAAAATGCCAAGCAGCCCCAGCACCCTGATGCTCCTGGAATGTCATCCCTCATTTATGGAACCTGTTGAGTCACTTCTAAAAGGCTTCACACAGCTGCCCACCCAGGAGAGATTATTCCTACCAGCTCACAGCTGCCCAGGGAACCCACAGCCTGCAATGTCTCACAATCTAACTTACATACCAGCTCTAAAACACAATGTTAAATACTTCCTCTCCAAAACACTCAATTCTTCAAAATTGTTATGCTTCTCATTTTGCTTTGTTTTGGGCTCACTATAAGGAATGGCTCCACCACTTACCAAATTTTTTAATTCATTTAGGTTTAACATTTCCATAAATGGAAGAGAATTTGGTACGAATCTTTGAAGGACAGCTTTACTTACATTTCAAGAAAGGTTGTTTATGCTGTTATGATATATTAAAAGTTTCTATATTACACAAGCACACATTTCCCTCTATAAGAGGAAAATTTGCATGTGGCTGCTTTCAACGGTTATCCACTGGAAAGTTGAGTGTGTGTGTGTGTGTGTGTGTGCAAGTTCATGTAACTAAAAGTGCTGTATTTTTTACTATTTTGCATTTTTGCTCCTAAAAATCTAGCAAAAAACTTTTTAGACACATAGCCACTACCAAACTGCTATTGGGGTTATATACACGTGAGCTAAAGCCAGCATTACTTAAAACAATCTTGGGATGGTCAAATAGTATGAAACAGGACTGTGCAACAAGAAATCATGTCTTATAATTTTGTTTCTGATTTCACAGCCTCAAGAAAGTGTTCAACTTTATAGTTCTTTTACTAATCAGAAAGGGAAGGAGGAAGAATTGGTCCAGTAAAGTTGCTGATGCTTATGAAGACTGACACTAGAATATATTAGGGGAATCCTCATATACTAAAGCTAACTTCATTTTTTAAGATGCCGTCAGTAATCTTAAAAAGGTTAATGCCCTAATTCAATATGATTTGTTTGGATGACCAAACCCAGGCAGAGAAATTAGTAAGACATGCAAGTAATTTCCATATCCTTCTAATAGAACACATGCAGAGCTGATAGGGAAAAAATTGGTGTAAAAAGGGGAAACAAAGGAAATAAACAAAACCTGTTGTTTCTCAAGTCATAGGGATATCGTGATCAAGCTATGAGGTTGTTACTTGAGAAATCCATCGTAACCTGATCACTGTATCTCTACAACCAGACCAAGACTTGTGTCTAGCACTAATATACACAAATGCATGCATGTAACAACACCACAACCATCAGTCCTCAACATACTTTGGAGACATTTCATTTTATCCTTTAGCCCTGAAACACAGTAAATGGGATTATTGTATTTCTTGAACATTTGCAGCCATCAAGCATCAGTTTTATATCATTCAAGGACATTTCTAAAAGAACTTCCTCCCCATCCTTTATTAATACAGGTCTGAAGTACAACATTGCAGACAAAGGGAGATGGAGTGTACACTCTTATTTTATCCAAAAGCATCATGCTGTAAGTCTGTAATCAGTATGCATACCACATCTAATTTTGTTGTATTTTTCCAGAATAGCTGGGGAATGCAAATTACTGACAGATCACTGACAGTTGTCACATAACCATACAGAATGTGATTTAGGTGCCCTTAAGAAATCAAGCCCAGGCAGGGCACAGTCATGTTAGGAGTGAACAAGGATGTCTCTCACTTTTATCTTCACTCCAAAGTCAGCTTCTGCTGAGAAAAATAGGAGCAGGCTAGACACGTTCTTATAAAATGTTGCTGATGGTTGTCCTTTCTGAAGTGTGAGGGTTTCAATTCCACATATTCATATTCTGAAGCAAGCAAAAGCAGCATCAATGCATTTAAACCCCCACATTCACAGCACCTACCTCCATTGGCCAGAAGATTTTCCTGGACTTTGTCTTTTGAGTCCTCCATAACTTCTCCTATGTACTGGGCTATTTTCTTTATTACACTTAAGTGTAACAAAAGAAGCTTTGTTAGCGAAGAAACAAAATTATTAAAAAACAGTTTCATAGTGATCTAATAAACACAGAAATGCCCAAACAAAACATTTCTGAAGAAAGGCAGGTTAATTTACAATTCAAATTATAATAAAAAATCTAGGACACAATGCAGAACTAAATGTCTTACCTCTAAATACACTGATCTCTGCAAAAACATAGGTAATGTCATTTTGCCTGTGTTCTGGACTTAGAGAATATCAAGATTCAGTCTTCTGTACACTCATTTTATGCATAGCAGAAACCAGAAGGCAAGAATGACAAGAAACTCATGCTTAAAACCCCCAAGGCAATGAAGGCAAAGGAGGCTACATATAGACACTAAAGATCTGTTCCATAGGATGCTAAAGAAATCCTTAGGGCTCCCTGAGAAAAGGTTCTCAGAAAATACTCAGGGGAAAATAGCAGTGTTATCTTGCCTGATGGGGAATTTTTTTCTTATTTCTTTTCTTTGCAGGACTCCTTCTCTCTTCTCTTTCAGCATAGTGGACAAGACACCTTTAAGGTGTAGGAGAGCTAGATTCAAATCCTTCCACCCAGTCCAGAGTAGTGATTTGTGCAGAGACCTCAACCCCCCAAGAACACAGTCTCCACTGTACCATGTAGGAGGATAGAACATATGTATATAAAGGTAGTATAGAAAGTAATCTTACCCCCTAAAGAGTTGCAGCTGAGCCCCAATTATTAGAGATTGGGAACAGGCCTGATTTTAACAGGCCACAGCTGTAGCCAATCAGAAGAGTGTTATAAAAGAGTGGATTGGTTGGCTGAAGGGAGCTAGAGTCTGTTGGCTACTGTGAGGACAAGGATGAGTTAGTGCCTAGAGGAGCTGCCTACAAGAAACACCAAGGAGGTATGGAGCTCTGGCAATATGGAATTTTGCAATGTAACAATAATAGAGCTCTTGCACTATAATGACAGCAAATGGTGATCCTGACATGATTTGAGAAAAAGGACTCGAATACTAAACTATATGGCTCTGTGGATTTAGGACTAAACTATATAATCCTGTGGACTTGGGGAAACAGGATTCAACTATATAACCCTGTAGATTTGGGGAAAGGACTTGAATACTAAACTATTGGTAAAAATATATCAATTGCAGCTATTAGTATTTGTTAAATATGAGTATAAAAGATTTTGAAGATAAGTACTTTGTAAACTGAGAAAAGCTGCAAAACTGAACCAACACTCAGAAATATATATATATATTTGTACTATATATAATATGTTGTCTGAACATTTGTATAGCTCTTAGTTCTAAATGAAATATATGAATGTGTCATAATGTTAATTTATTTGAATATGTCTTTCTAGGAATGCTGCAACTCTGTAATTAAAAGAAAAAGGGGGACTTGTAGGGGGATAGAGCACAAGTAAATAAAGGGAGTATAGAAAGTAACCTTACTCCCTAAAGAGTTGCAGCTGAGCCAATTATTAAGGATAGGAGCAGGCCTGATGTTAACAGGCCACACCTGTAGCCAATCAGAAGAGTGTTATAAAAGAGTGGATTGGTGGGAACTGGAGTCAGTGGCTGCTGTGAGGACAAGGAAGAGTCAGTGCCTGGAGGAGCTGCCTACAAGAGATATCAAGGAGGTATGGAACTCTGGCAATATGGAACCCTTGCAATGTAATGACAATAGAACTCTTGCACTATAATGACAACAGTGCTACTTGTTCTTTGCTCATTTTAAGAAATGGATTAATCAAGTCCCTCTAGGAGTAGCTCCCTCTGTCTCTAGTCAAAGTACCTGTCTCATACAGGCTGCAAAACTTTCTGTTTAAGTATCCTTCTGCACTCAAAAATATTCACAGAATTTGGCCTGTGGTTCCCTAACTGTCCTAGGTTGACTGCACCTTGTAAAGAACCCAGAAGCTACAAGGTTACTGCCTGACCATTAAATTGGTGGAAACACAAAGTGGACATAATCCTTGGCCTTGTGACAGGGAGTGTAACAGCAGGCTTCATTTCCACTTTATTTCTCTTTCTTTCCTTACTAAGAGGAGGCTACTACAGCTGCAGATGAGCTGGAGACTGAAAAGGCATCTACAGTGTTTGGACACTGTTATGTGGATGGACCATGTGGTGTTGTGACCAGTCCTGTGGTTTTCAAGAGCTGAAAAAGGACTTTGGGTAAGGTATATATACCAGGAAAGCATCAAAAAAGAGGATTTTTCTTTCATGTGCTGCAAAGCAGTTGCATCTATCTTTGTTACTGTGAAGAAACTTAGAGTTTTGGGAAAGGTTTTCCAGTCCTATGATAGCTAGGAAAAGTCTGAGACTGCTGATGCTGCCAAGAATGCAATACTCAAAATTTGTGCTGTTTGGGGTCAATTCAGTTGGAAGAAGAGAAGATCTTGTGGCTTCAATATATAAAGGGCTCCTATAAGAAAGTTGGACAGAGGCTTTTTACCAGTGCCTATAGTGACAGGACAAGAGGCAACAATTTTAAACTAAGAGAAGATTTAGACTGGACATAAATTCTTCACTATGAGGGTGATGAGGCATTGGCACAGGTTGCCCAGGGAAGTTGTGGATGCCCAGCCCCTGGAAGCATTCAAGGCCAGGTTGGATAGGGGTTTGAGCAACCTAGTTTAATGAAAGGTTTTCCTGCCTATGGCAGGGGGTTGGAACCAGAGGATCTTTAAAGTAGCCTTTCAACTCAAATCATTCTTCCCATGACCCTGGACAGAGGCAGTTCAGAGTGCCTGTAGGAGGAATCTATACCACTGTGCTCCAGTTCACCTCCCTTTCTCAGAGCTGCTGTATTGTTTCACCACCTGGCTGCAGCCCCATAGAGACCCAGCTGAGGCTTGTTAGGGTACAGCACATGTTTCCCACACTCAGGCTGTGGGGGGGGTTGAGGGATCCAGGCAAAGCTTCCCTGACAATTGCAACCTTACCAAGCACTTCTGCAAATTTCAGCTTGTAGATAGAGCTGGGTTTTGTCTCCCAAAGAACATGTAACAAGACAGCAGTTGGTAAAACCAACAGCATAGCAGAGGTTAAAGACATTATGGAGAAAGCAGTTCACAGGGACATGTATAAACCAGGAGCTTCTCCAAAGGGCCTGAGCTGCTTTCATGACTCTTGAGTGCATCTGGTGGCTGACAGACAGGTGGGAGACAGCTCTGGCCTCTCTCCATGGATATGGGGGGGGACAGGTGTGTGCTCTCATGCACCTGACAGTCCTACCTGCCCAGGCAAGGCTTGGCTCCCTTCCCACCCACACATCCCGTGGTCCCTGCAGCAGGATACAGCCACACTGTGTGTAATACACTGTGCCAGAGGAATGTTCTCCAGTCCTGCCTTAGCCTCTGTGCCTTGCATTGCATCCTGTGAAAGCAAGTGGGATTCGCTCACCCAGTATATTTCCCATGCAAAGACAGAACCTATCCCCTCCACACCACTGATGTCTGGAGCAAATGACAGGAATCAGACCCCTGGAGGAGCCCCACTGACATCCAACAATAGACAGTTTTCACAGCCAAGTATCAGATCTCTGCCTTTAGATAAGATGAATCCCATCTTGAGCAAATATCTTGATCAAATGATGCATTATAAAAAGAGAATTTCAGCAAAACTGCTTCAAGAAGTAGTAATAAAAATCTGTAAAGGGAGTAACTCCATTTAACCTACCATTATGTCTTGAAACTAATGTTTTGCTTCTGCAATGGCTGCAATGTCTTTAGCTTCCAAAAAAAAAAAAAAGTCTAACACTTTTTAAATGATACTGAGAAAGAAAGGGTGCTACCCACCAGGCCTCCAAAACACTGCAGGGAGCAGAAGTCCTGCAATCTGAGGCCACTCCCAGGTGTGCCACTGACCTAGCACCAGCGAGAACCCCTGGGTAAGAGTGACCGAGGAAACTGTCAGCTTTTGAGAGAGCTCCACGCTACCACAGGATGACATGGAAAAACACTCCTCCTCCCTGTGTAAATAAATAATAAAAGTATGTGGAAACAATAGCTCCTGCAAACTCTTGCCCCTTCTCTGCTGTCCTGGCAGGAGGCAGCGCTGACAGGTTTGCACTGCCTGGCTTTGCTGGCAGCTGTGTTTATCCAGCAACAGTTCAGCAGGCAGCTCTTTCACAGAACCAGGAACATAAATGCTCAGGTCATCTGAACAGGCTTGTAACCCTATGGATGCCGTTTACTTCAACCAAGTGAGAGTGCCTGGCATTTTAACCCTTGAATCACAATTTAGACATAAAACCTGAGGCATTTATTTAATGCAAAATGCTTTTGTATGCCCTTGTGGGACTCAGTCTGCTAATACATCTGATTCTTCTGTTATTCTCTGTTACTACTCTAATGTATTTTTCTTATTTTTCCAAACATATTTCTTATTGTTAAATCTTGATTTTTCCTGATTACCTATCTTGACAGGCAAATGAGACAAACAGGAAGAGTCCTTGCCTCAGCAGATTACAGTGGATGGGCCTCACTGACCCCTTTGCTCCGTGTCCCTAGAGCCCATCAGAGGGAAAGAGTCATTAGTGGCATTGAAGGGACAATTAGTGGAGTAAAGTGGTGTTCAGCTTGAACAAGCAGCTGTATGGTGCTGGCAAGTAAAGACAAAGATAACAGGAGCCAAAGGAGCTCCTACTGACATTTCACTTCTAACTGCCCTCCACGATCTTACATGGATTCTGAACTCAGCTTTTCAGAACTCCTAATGCTTCACAAAGCTGGGAATTAGTTATGCCTTTCTGAAAAATCAATTCTGTTAATTTCTGGTAGCCCTCAAACCCAGAACACACAGCTGCTTCCTATCCGCTACCCTGATTAGAGAGACAGAATCACAGAATATTCTGAGTTTGAAGAGATCCACAAGGATCAGCAAGGATCATCCAACACTTTCCATTAGAACAGATAGCAGGTATGGGCACTGTCTCTCCCCAAACTTGCCCCCCTTTCCACTTCCTCAAGAATCTCTATAATTGAAGAAACTGGAACATGTTTCAAAGAATATGGGGCAGTATCTTTGGCAGGGTTACAATGGAGATGGTTTTGTTGACAAATTAAGTTGCTTTGCCTTGCTTAAAGTCCTGAAGAATCAGTATGGTTTAGTTTTAGGTAGTTCTGTGAGGAGCAGGGTGTTGGACTCAATGATGGTGATGGGTCCGTTTCAACTCGAGATATGAATCGCATCTATGATTCTAAAAGATCAATCTTGTGTGCAAGCCAGAATTATCATATGCAATCATTCTAATACAACCCTTGTGTAGCACTGTAGGAAAATCAGAAAAAAAATCCTATGGAGAAATGTATTCTAGCAGACCAACATTCACCTAAACTGCCTAGCATAGATGCAAACAGTTTATATCAGGGTTTCTGTAGGTTTTTGCAACTGCCACACAAAGATCTATGTAAGGATTGAGCATATTTAGACAAGAAAATGCTTATCAGTCTGGACTGGGAGAAAAAAGGCAAAAAGACCCAGAGCTAATGCATGTGTCTGTGACCAAAACTAGGTAAGCTGCCAAAGCAAAAAGTAGAACAAAGCAGAAAAACCCAGCAGCTTATACCTTCATTGCCTCAAAGTCTACCTTGTGCTATGAAGTATCTTAAAACCTGTAATTTTCTTAGCTTGCTGTACTACATTATTCTTTTGTATGCCCAGGTCACTTTGTCCCAAAAGGCAAACTTGGTAATTGTCAGCAGGGAGATCATGTGAGTCTTTGCTGAAATAGGTTTGATGCAATATGAGTCAATATTCTGGTTTTTAAGGAGTTTAAAAGCCTGAGAGGAAGCAGTCTGGACTTCATTCAAATGAATATAATCATTAGAGGTCCTCTATCTGGTTGAAAAGGGATAGAAGGTTCAATAGAAATATTCTGTCAAAACAAGATCAGGGAGGGCTTCACATTCTCTAAATGTTGTTTTATCAAGTTTCTGGATGAGGTGGGAGGATGTTCTTTAAAATAAAAACAAAAGCACAAAACAAAATAACCCCACAACCCGCCATTTAAAAGTTTCCTTATGAGACACAGCTTCCCTAGCACTGCCACTTGAATGCATGGCTGGGCTGACAAAGCAACCATGGATATAATTCATCTAAATTTTAAGGAATTAGTCTTTTTTTGTGATAACTCCATGACAATCAACACAAGGGTTAAACAAAGCCTATCCATTTTAGTCCAGTTGTAGTCCAGGCTGAACTGAGTCAGACCAAGGTGAACACAAGGACATACCATCCCATAAAAACAATGTCTGTTTCTCATTTGTAGGTGGTATATAAGATCTATTTTACCTTTCAGCAAAGGTATCAAGTTTTCCCAACTCATCTGACAGACCAACAAGAGCATCCAGTGTCCCCACCTGTGCAAAAGATGAGAATTAGGTGAAAGATGCACAACTCTGTCTAAGGCTTTTGTTGGCAGAGCTTTAAGGGGACTGACTTGTCCTTAGTACACATGAATTTAACAGTTTGGCAGAACCTTATTTACTTGGTGGAAAATAGTAGCAATTCCTTTACCTAAGAGCTAGGGCATAAAAAGCCTTTTCCAATACAGGAAAAAAGTATGTGTAATCTCAAGATTACACATCAGTGTCTTTCTTCCTGTTTTCACTTTGTCCTCTATCATCAAGCTCCATAGAATAGTCTTTAACCAGGTAAAATAGTGACTGGAAATGCACACAAATAATGCACAGATACAAAAAAGTCAGATGTACTAGGAGAACAAAGGGAAACCACTTATTCAAAAGGGGGTATCTGTCTGTGTTTCTGTTATTACCAAAGCAAGTCTCTCACAAAGTCATTTCTGACCAACATCTGCTTTTTGAATCACTGTCAGTCATAACCCCATATTTATCATATTGCAGCATATTGCCAAACCTTTTCTTGTAATGTTGCCAGCTCAACATTATGTAGGGTCAATCTAAGGGAGAAGAAATAAATTTTACGTGGAACAAATAGAATGGAAATGGGCATCTTCAGATACTCCAAATGCTTTACTTCCTTCAACATAAGCAGATTCTCACCACCACCAATGGGGTAAGGTCCACAGAAGATAAAAATAAGGTCCATGGATGATAAAAATCTTATCAATCTCTTTTTTGTGCACACAAAAAAGCAACACTCTTTTCTCTGTCAGTAGTCTTGCTGCAATGGCTGTGGATAGTCAGCTGCTCCCTTTGCATTAGCAATCCAAGACGTCCCATGCTGTATGACTTTGATGACTAGGAGCACATTGTACATGGAATGCAATAAATCAGCTATTTAACAGCTCACTCATGTTTACTCCTTATACATCTACCCTTCCAATGTGAAGAGCAGCTTCAAGAACAATGACTTATTTCTCTCTGATCAATTTTCAGTTGACTGAACACAACTCATCCCCCAACCACAGACTCCTTCTACGCTCTGCCTATTATCCCAAATGATAAATCCCATATTTATCCCAAAAGTCTTTAGCCCTGGCTAATGCTGCTGTTTTGCCCATACACAAACCCCTTCCTCACTTACCTTTAAGTCTGGAATATGGAATTTACTGTTGCTGGACAGGTTGGATTTAGATGTCACAGTGTTCATTCTCTCCCATGCCTGCAGATTTGTTTTGTCTCCTGGGGCAGAAATTAGCCAGAACTCCGACATGATCTTATATTTTCCCTTCACTGCTGGTCACTGTAGAAACTCAAAGCAGGTAAGTGGCTAAAAGAGCACCACAAAAAATGTGTCCTTCCCTAAGAACAGAAAGAGTTAGAACAGATCACTGATTTATTTTCTTCAGAAACACCAGGAGAATTGAGTCAGTTGTGCGTCTCAGGCTGAAATGGAACATGACCTTCTCCAGAATGTCACGGAAAGAGTGTGGCTGTTCCTTCCTTCTCAGGATTGTTCCATCCAGTTTCTGCATGAAGAAATTAAGCTTCCTCCTCCCCTTTTCCCTCCCAGCCTGTTCCATTTGCCTTGTGCTTTAAGTTCAGTGCCTGTTGGGGAGCTTGGAGGTTTCACCAAACCACCCAAAAGTAATAAAGGATTTCTGCTTGATAAATATTCTCTCTCAAATTGTTGGACATTTGCAAGGAAAAATGAAAGCAAGACCTCTGCTAAACATAGAGGCTGCAAAAGATGCCACTGGCAGGACAGAATATTGCTCTCCTCTGTGTTTTTTCCTCCCAGGCTCGATAGTAAGGAGCTGGAGGAAGGCAAGCCCTGGCGTACAGGGACGGTATCGGCAGAGCCACACAGATGGAACAGTAGCGAGAACAGAGGGACAACTACTGTGGTACGAAGCAAAGAGAGGAGGGCAGGAGAGCGAGCAGCTGGCACTACACCGCAATCCTCCGTTCCTTCCCGAGCTCCCGCGGAGTATCCCCGCCACACGTCCTGCTCTCAGGTGTGCGGGACAGGGCGGGTGCGGCACTCGCCCCTCGGCACCCGCGCCGGGCCCCGCCGTGCCCGAGCGCTGCTAGCTCGGCTGTGAGGGGCTCCGCGGGGCACTGCCCACTGCTTTACCTGCCTGCTGCCTCTCCTGCCCGCTGCCTCTCCTGCCCGCTGCTTTACCTGCCCGCTGCCTCTCCTGCCCGCTGCTTTACCTGCCCGCTGCCTCTCCTGCCGGCTGCCCGGCTGCTTTACCAGCCCGCTGCTTTACCTGCCCGCTGCCTCTCCTGCCCCTGCCGCTCCCCGTGCCCGCGCCGCTCCCGGCGGCTCCCGGAGCGGCAGGGCCGGGGCGGAGCGCAGCGAGGCGGCCGCCGCATCCACGCGTGGGTGCAAGGGGCCGGGGCTCCCTCCCGGAGCACAGGGAGCTGCTGCGCCTGGTGCCCTAAAAGCTCTGTCACACCTCTGACTAGGGCAGCTTTGCATCTCCTTGCTGTCTTTTAAACTGGCACAAATAATGCAGAAGCCATTTGTTTTTATTAAACACTGACTACCTTCAGCAAGTGTGAATCTTTTGGAATAATTAAAGACTTCTAGGAAACTCTTGTTTCCGGCACTTCCCTAAGTGCTTCACATAACAAATATGTGGTGCAGGAGTCTGCAAAATAACGATGGTTACGTTCCTGGTGATGCTTCTTCTTTCATGTGTAGCTGTGGCTTTAAGTCATTGGCAACCCTTGAGCTTGTCTTACATTGCCTTAAGCTTGGTTAAGACATTGGGAGTATTTCACAGGTTGTGTGGAATGAAGTCCTCCAGGCATTTCTAATCCAGGTATGCTCTGAAGGTAACAAGTGTCTAAACACTGGGTACCTGCCTCTGAGAGGCATCTCTGCAATAGAGTCGAGCCCTCTCACTGGGGGTTATCCAGTTCTCATCTTCCAGCTGAGTCGTCTAATACTTAGGAGTATTTGTCATACTTAGGCAAACTCTGCTATTACTGGAGGCTTATTTTCTTCCAAAAATGGTGTATTTTTAACTCATGTTTCTCTGTAAATGAAGCCCCTACAAGAAATTAAACAGAAGGATGCTCTTGGTTTTCCACATGACCTGTCATAAACTGAGAGGGTTTGAGATGCTGGGGGCAGGCAGGTCTGGTCATGCACAGAAGCAGAGCTCTTGACACTTCCAAGAACCTTAAATGAAGACCCCTGAAAGATTTAAGTGTCTTCAGGACTAGGAAGAAGCAGCTGATGTAAGGCATCCTGAATGATGCCATGTAAATAATGCTTTAGGTAGCTAACATGTAGGTCAAGGTATTGGACCCTAAATGTTTAGATTCTTTAGGTTAGCCAAAGATTCTTCCTTTACTTCTCTTTAACATTTTTAGTGATATATAAAAAGCAATTCATGTGTGGAGGAAGCGAGTCTCTACTGAAAGCACTCCAGAAAAAGACACTGAGAAGATTTGTAGCTGAAATAACCATTTTCTAGGGATTTTTTTGTTTGCTTATTTTTTTTTTTTCATTTCTAGGCTAATTAAATGTTCAGTTCTCATAACTGCTATGATTCTAATTCTTTTCAATCATTGGGCATGACAAAGGTCTTCCAGAAGTTATGGGAAAAAATGAACATATTGATCTGTGAGATGGCACTCACAGAAGAAGTAATTATTGTCTAATCCTTCTTTTTTGTTTCTTTCTTTAGACTATACATTTTAATAATGAAAACATACTTAACTGGTGTTTAAGTATCTACATCATACATATCTTTACCCAAAGCTTACAGGTCTGAAAGGTACAGTAGACCTGATCACCTAGATAAGGCAGTTCTTTCCCATCACAAACCAAGAACAGTTTTAACTGGATCCTTGTTGCAGTCTCAAGCTGTGGAAATGCTTTGCATAATTAATTTTAGAAATGTTACATTCTCATAATCTCCTTAAATTTAGAATCACATAAGTTGAAACTAGTGCTAACAGATGAGAAACGTTTCTTGCTGCAGTGGTGCTAGATTTTAGGAATGTTTTTCTGTACACATGCTTGTTATAACAAAAAGGTAAAATCCAAGCTGTAGGTTTGTTGGATTTCTGGATTCTACAATATACACTACTTAATTCCTTAACATTTTTATAGCAGGAATGCCATTTTCCCCCCTTTATATAGCTTTTTTTACTATTATTAAAGTGAAAAATTTTATGCTACTTATTGTTTTAAAAGAAAACTAACAAGAAAAGAGACAAGAATGATGTTAATGTCTAAGCAATGTCCTGTTGAATGTTTTCCATTATCATATTTTCTCAGTTTACTGTGACTTTTCAAACTTTTTTCTTTTTACCCCATTACATATTTTTAGGCTGGATGAGGCAGCAGTGAAGGTGGAGGGGAAGGAGCAGGCAGACATGCTGTGGGACTAGGACTGTGGTGCAGTCTGGTGGTAACACAGCTCTGCCAGCTCATTTCCCTGGCTGGCCCCACATGTGGTGCCATGTGATCTCAGGGCTGTCTAATTCCCTCATGATCATCACGTGTCTTTCTGCTCCCTCTGATCCACCAAAGCAATGAACTTTTCTGTGACTTTGCCTCTCTCAGTAATTGTGAGTTTCTTCAGCTGCCACAGCAAGGGAGCAAAACTCTGCCTGCAGACAATGATTAAGGGTATTGAAATACCCCACTTGAAGTATCTCCCAAGACAACGTTCTCCAACAGATAACCAGAATTAATTACCTAGGCTATTATGACACTGACATTAGAAGGAAAGCTGCTATCTTCAGCATTCTACACCTCTAGGAATTCTTTGTAGGTTCAGACATCAGATGCTGCTGAATGCCTTTTGAATATCCTGTTGGGTCCTCAAGCTGCTGTCCTAGGATAACACAGGTCTTCTGCACATTCCAAGTCACATAAACCAACCCCCCATGGATGTCTGGGATTCCCTACAATACCCAGAATTGCAGACAAGTGAATTCAGCATTTCAGTTTTAAATGTCTATTAACAGCTCATGGTGCTCTAATCAGACTGTGGCACCTGATCAAACTCACCCCACAGAAGACATTCAGTGGCTGCTGCATCAGACTCCTCACGCTTAATTAACTGCATTTACCAGGGATGAGATTCAGCTGCCTGAGCTTCTAGTGCCACCAGAGATCTCCCTGCACATCCTTCCTGCAGATTACACTACAGAAGGGTTTGGATTTTCCATTGGTCTTGTGTCAGCCCTGTCCAGGTGCCCTGGATACAATATGGCATCTCAGATGTCACTAGACAACCTACATGTAAGCAGGTACAGCCTTAGCTTTCTGAAATGGGAGCTTAAACACCTAGCTTAAACTTACAGGTACCTGTATTTAGGTGTGCTCATCTCCCAGGAATCTCAGCTCTAACACCCTTTAATACAACACCGAAGAGAGAGCTCTTTTTAGTCATGATATTGGTATCATCATTGTTGTGATACACCATTCAGGGAACACCATGCATAGACTTATTTGAAACTGCTTCAGTGCCAGAGATACGCATTTTTAAAAATTTAGTTGCGATTTTCATTGTTTCTTCAATATGCATATGGACTGGATACACATTATTTCAGTCCTTGTTTTTGATCCTGTAAATTGGGACAAGAATGGTTGGAATTCTGCATACTGGTTTTCTTTTTTTCTTTTTTCAATAGCGATGCTACAAAGCAATAAGAATGTGTCTTTCTATGGTTGCTGTCAAGGTTCTGATCAGCAAGTCCCGCACTCACTGTTTTCCATGGCTAAGGGACACGGTCTGCCACAGGGTGAGAAAATTAACCTCCTCCAGCAAGGCTGCAGGAAGAACTCCTGCCTTTCTGAGTTCACATGAAGGCCATGGGGAATGACGCTACAGCTGCCTGATGGACACTCCTGTCGGACAGACAGGGCTCTCTGTGTCCGGACACGGGCCGGGCCCTGCGGAGAGGGCTCACGGCCGCCCCAGCTCCGGCCCTCTCCTCCCATCCCGAATCCCGGCAGCGCCGGGACCGTGGGCAGCGCCCAGGGACGAGGCGGCAGCGGAGGTGCTTCGCTGTGAGCTGCGGAGCCAGCGGAGTCGCTGTCCCGCGGGTTTGCTCTGTTCCCCCGTCATCGCCGGTGTGAGGCAGGGGCAGAGCCGCGGGGGCGGGCCGCCCACCCTACCGGCCCCGCACGCCGCCGGGTGAGGCCGAGCCGGCGGAAGCGCCTCGCCTTCCGCTTCCTCTCTGCCCGGGAAGAGGCGGGTGCGGCTGCGGCCATGCAGGTCTCCAGCCTCAACGAGGTGAAGATCTACAGCCTGAGCGCCGGCAGGAGCCTCCCGGAGGTGAGGGCGGCGTGGGGAACGGGCCCGGCCCGGCCCGGGTCCCGCGGCGGGAGCCAGACCCGCGCGGTGCCGGCGCGGGGGCCGAGCCCCGGCCCGGCCTGGCTGAGCTGCCCCGGTCCATGTGCGCTTGTGTTGGGATCGTTACCGGGAAACAGCTCTGAGTGTTTCTTACATTAGATATGCAGTTTAAATGAGTGAACCTCTGGCTGTGGCGGTGCTGGTCCACAGACCCGTAAGCAGCACGACCTTGTACCATTCTTGTGGAATGGTTAAACTTATCAGTGGAAGGGAAATTAGATGATAATCAAGAAAATAATCAGCGGGCTAAATGTCTTATGTTTCAAATGGTTGGATAAACTTTGATTCTCCGGTTCCTGTATGAATAATGAGCTCAAGACTGATGTATACCTTTGCTTGCAGTGGCTCTCTGACAGGAAGAAAAGAGCTTTACAGAAGAAAGATGTGGGTGAGTTTTCCCCTCGCAGTCGACTACTCCATATACATAACGTGCAGGCCCAGAGGAGACTCCTCACTGACTGATACACAGAAGTTATCCTTAAGTCATAATATAAAAACTACAGAATTAAACTACAGATAGTTATTTTGATTTCTCGTAGAGCTTCACGTGAACTCTATATAACCAGTGGTGTTTTAAATTTTACACATTAAATACTTGGGTTGTGGATTGTAACAGAAACATGATGGATGGATTCCATGTTGTCCCTTACATTAAAATCAGACCATAAACTTCTTTGTGATGCTGTGCTAATCTTAGAGAGCAGGACTACATCATTTTAGCCTAAGCTTCTTAGACAAAATAAAAAGGGCTATTTAGATTCACAGAAAGTGTTATCCAAGAAACTTAACCAAGAAAAAAATGCATAGAGGTAATGGGATATGGAATACCTTATATACAAGGCCTTAATTGTGCAAGTGTGCAATGAGTATTTGCTACTATGTTGTATAATGATTTGTTACGCAGTTACCTTGCAGTTCTAATTTATTTTTCCACAGGGGTAGTCTGCTTCTCAGGGTTAGCAGACTGTGTAAAACTGCTTATAATGTGGTAGTTATAGTATCTGTAAAGGATATTCCCTACACTCAATTAACTCAACGTGCTTCTTTAGGAAACTGTTACAGTTTCTTAGACTGATAGAATTGTGCTAATTCTACAATTTTTTTTCTTTACAGATATCCGTAGAAGAATTGAACTTATTCAAGACTTTGAAATGCCCACTATTAGCACAAAGATTAAGGTATCAAGAGATGGACAGTATATTATGGCAGTTGGTGAGTTAACAAACAGTCTCTCTAACAGAGGCCAAAAGTCCTAGGTAATCTTGGGTGCAGAGTGACTGTTTCAGGTAGAATTGTTAAGAGTTCATTTTGAAGTGTGGAACTGGACATTCTGCTGGAAGCAAACTCTTAACATGTGATAGAACAGTTGTCTTGAGAGTGGTGCTGTGGAACATTCTTCTCTTTAGAATATGTACATTCTTAGAATCATAGAATGGTTTGGGTTGGAAGGCACTCATGAAGATCATCTAATCCAACTCCCCTGCTGCTAGAGTTTATAATACAAATAAAAATTAATAAAACAAATCCATCTATAATACAGTTATATGCTAAGTTCTGAATTACTTTTAGTGTATGTATGTTAAATAACTTCTGAACATCATTGTTTGAGTATTGTTTTATAGGAGGAGGATAATCTGCATTTTGTGACTGTCAAAATGGGATACTTTAGTAGATGTTAATAACATAAAGAGCCTTGGTCTTTTAGATTTACTGGAAGGTTTTCCTAGATTCTGTACCATGTATCTGGTAGCTAGGAGAACCTGCATACTAGTAGGGTGCTTGCAGAAACCAGGCTGTAAGGTTGTGTCACTAAGAGGTATGTTTTTCCAGTCACAGAGGCTTTGGGAAGGTCAGAAGACTTATAGTAGAAACACAGTAAAGCCTGTATATCTAAGACATTATACTTGAAAAAAAATGCTTTTGTGTTATCTTTTTGTTTAACTTTTTATTTAATCAAACATCAAATTACTCTTTCAGGAACTTACAAGCCCAGGGTCCGCTGTTTTGATACCTATCAGTTATCCCAGAAATTTGAAAGATGCTTAGATTCCGAAGGTTAGTATGAGCCATGGCTGTTGGTACATAATAGTACATGTTAGTACATGTCTGTCATACATAATTCAGGTTGGACTCCAGCAGAAATTCTGCTCTCCCTGTGAGGAGACAGAATGAACTTCAGGGGAATACAGGAATCTAGAGTAAAACCATCTAGTCGTCATCTCTGAATTTTCCCCTTTATTCTGATTTCAAAGTTCTTTCCTTGCCTGGAAAAGAGGGTGTGAGGGATGTAAAATTTACCTTGAGCCAGAAAGTCTGGGGCTCCGAGGGTGAATGTGGCTGAAGTCTGTGTTCTATTTGGTGAATGTGACTAAGGTTCAATGGCTGGCTGGTGGCAAGATCTCCCTTCTTACCTGTTCTATGAAGCAGTAAGGTAGGAGAACACACTGTGGGATTGCTCTGTTTTGTCTCTGGAGCCCAGCTCAGTAGGTGAGTTACAGAGTTAAACAGAATTTCCAGGGCGGGGGGGGGGGGGGGGGGGGGGTGGGGTGTTGGTTTGGTTTTCTGTTTGTTTTCTGGAAACAAATACTTAGGGTAGATGATAGCATGGCCAAGGCCCTAATTGCACCTTATTTGCTACTAATTTGGTGGGAGAACAACTATGGTGAGGAAAATAAGGAGCTATCTAGACAATGGGAAAGGGAGAATCATCTGGCAGTTAGAGCAGGGCAGGAGCTGCTACAGCTCTGAGCTTTTAGGGTACTTAAATTTCAGTAATTATAAGGTTATTTTGTTTGTTTAGTTGGTTTTTGGGGTTTTTTTGGTTTTTTTTTTTTTGTGGGGGGGGGGGTGGTGGGAGTGTTGTTATTTGAGGTTTTTCTGTTTGAAGACTGATAACTGAAAGCTGGGATGTAGGGGTGACCACAACAATGAGGAGATGAGCACGTTCATTACAGAAGAATTGATCTGGTCGAACTTTGATGTGTGCGGAAGTGATGCAAGAAATAAAAATCGTAATAAGAGCATGGGGGTGTTTTTGTGCTCTCTGCCTCAGGACTACAAGAAGTCATGTAGGGTGAAGGAACAGTGTTAGGCAGGGTTTCAGAGAGGCTGGGGAGAGGAAGGTATGGCAAGAGTGAAACCCTCTTTTAAAGAGTAGAAGTCATTGTAATTATAAATGCTTGCTGCTAATTAAAGTAAATTTTTTTGAACTGGCATCTTGGTAGACTACAGAAGTATGTTTAATTTGAAGTCTAGCATAGAGTCACTTCAGGTAACTTTAAATGAGTTATCTCATTTAAATAGAACTAATTTAGCTGAAGCAGCTACTCCCTAATGTTCCCAACTCAGCTCAATTAAAACTAGGCAACGTTCAATATGGCAGTGTTCAACGTATGTAGTAGCTTTCACATTTGTGTTTTTTTTTTTTGAGCCTTAACTTCTTTTGTGAAAGTGCTTACCCCTTGGAAGGACTGCATGTGCAAGTTTATGCATATATGCCAAAAACTCGTAATTTTTTTATCATCTTTGATGGATTACCAAGCTCCATGGACCACACACTTACTGAAAACGATTTGATTAGACATTTCCCACACTGATAAACTACGTGGTTGAGCATTGTGTTGAGGAACATGTCAAGTATACAAGAACAATAAAAAGATTACAGGATGCTTCATATGTTTCCAAAGTTTTAGAAAACTACTTATTGTTTTGCAAATCAAGTTACATAATTGGAGATCTTGCTAAAGATTAATGCCTGCATTATGCATTGACACCTGTGGGGAATACTTACATGACTAAAGATTAGCATGAGTTTAAATGTTTTCAGGATTATGCCAATGTTTGCAAATAACTGCTTGCTTCGTTGACTCAAAATTCTCTTACTCTCTCCTCTAGTGGTTACGTTTGAGATTTTATCAGATGATTACTCAAAGGTATGTTTAATACTTTCCAGTGTATAAATAAAAAAATTGTTTAGTATGTATATTAAAATGCATTTTCATATATAGTAAAGGCAGTCAATCAACACAGCTTTTGGAAGAAAAATGTTTTTTTAAAAACAGCAAACAGGGTAAACATTTTTGCGCCTTTAAAATTTTGTTTGTTTTCTTTGTATCTTTGTACTATAATTTACTTTACGACTTTTAAAGTCTTTTGTCTGTTGGAGAGAAAAACCTCAAATAGTGATCTATCCTACAAGCAAAATAATGTGAAAAATTGAATTAACTATTCTTTCTGAGATAACATTTAGTCACAATCCCTTGTGCCAAGTGATGCACGCATACATTGTTTTTCAAAGGTTAGATAGCTATGAGTGAGTTAACAACCTGATTTGTCAGTGTTGTTATAGACATGATGATGAGCATATGAAGCAAAAATTGTGGAGAGAAGTAATATCTTTTTTCTTTAGTTTTATTTTTAAATGAAGTGCTGTACCTGAAGGAATCACCCAAGTGTTTCTTTTATGCTTTTTTTTTCTGTGAAAAGACCTTACCATTTCAGGTATAGGTTTGTTTTAATAAATACTGCTCTTTGATCAGAGACATGATCATCTAGCCTTGTAGCTTTTTTGCATTTTTCCTGTGAGATTTCCAAGGAAGTGCATGAATTCAAGTAGCAGAAGGTAATGGCTGATACTTCACAGTAGCTTCCCACTTGTCTATCTAGTGGAAAATGTTTCTGGCTCTACATACCAAATAGTCATTTGGGAGACTGAGGAACATGCTGTCTTCCCAAATTTTTCTGACTGATTATGAACAGAAAGGTGTGTGTTTTCAGCCGAAATGGGTGCTATATTTCAGGCTGAAGCCCTACTTTTTTAACTTCATGCAATCTTTATGTTTTCAATTTTATTTTACTAAAACTTAAGAAATCATCAGAAAGAAAAATAAACTTCAAGTGGCTGTCATAGTGTTGTGGACATGTTAGAAAGAGGGAACAATATTCGAGAAATTACAGTTGAAATTTTTAGAATCATAGAAGTATTGATTGGAATGGGTCTTTAAAATATCATTTTAATGCTTGAACGGTTCTGTCAAAATCTACAGGCATGGTGGTTCCAAAGATTTACTGAATAAATTGTTGCAATTCTGCTCTATATTGTCATAAAGAATTTTTAGTTCCGGCCCAGGAAAATCTTAAGTTTTTACTGTTGCTATTGGAAAGAGGGATTTTTTTTGTCCTGGATTCTGTCCCTTGTCAGTCTTAGTAGCCCTCTTGGTGCTCTCAGCATCCTTTCATAGCCAGGGAAAATAGTGTCTCTCCAAATCTGTTCCTGCCATCCCTTTAAGGCTGCTTTGAGGCTTATTTGCATTTTCATAATGAGAGCACCTTTTTTCTTTCATACAGATTAGTATGAATCTGTAGGAAAGAAAAGGCCAGTTACATTTCTGTGCCTTTCTAAGTTTTAGGTTTAAAAGTCTTAGACTTGGACTAAGTTTTAGACTTGGGAGAGAGTGTAGTATATTTTTTCCCACAGCCTTTTGCCAGGAGACCTGTATTTCCACATAATATTTTTGCCACACACCAGTGCCAATGCATTTGCTACCATTAGTTGTAGTTTTCTGGTGGTGACCAAAATTAATTTAGTAAGAAGAAAAGACAAACACAACTTACAGTGAGCTGTATTCACTACTAATGAAAGAGAACATTAATATATTCAAGTCCAATATTATAGAAATTTGTGTTTAAATAGAAAATTATTAGCGGTAAGACAATTATACAGATTTATAAATAAAGATGACAGATTTAAAGTAACTTTAAATAAAACTTAACTTAAGCTTTAAACTTAACTTTAAACTTAAAAGTCACCTCACTTCCCTGAGTTTCTCATCCTTATTTGCATTGCTAGCTATGTAATTCAGCAGTAGAAAATTTTAGATATTTGCTCTGTACTGTTTTTAGAAGATGCATGTACTACACAGGCTAAACTAAAGTATCACTTCTCTAATCCAAGCTAAATAGGGATGAGGCTCAGAGACAAAGGTTTGGCTGTGGTTATCATGCATGGCATGAGTTTGGGCCATGCCAGCTGTTCCTCCCTTGCTCAGTGCCTGGCCATAGTGTGAGGTGCAGCACGTGATGGGGGTGATCCTGTCTCTGGGGCAGGGGGGAGGTGGGGGGGAAAGAATCCCTTCCTATGGATATGTGCCATGTTAATCTACCATAAGGAGTGTAACAGCAGAACCTGGCCTATTTTATTTACTGGGATAGATTGAGCTCTCTAGTAATGCCTCCCTGTAGGTTTTTCCAGGAGTGAGATGTTTGTATAAGTTTCGGAAAGAAACAATGTTACTCAGTTGGCAAAGAACAAAAATGTAGAAAGATTGCTGGTGTCATTTACTGGAATGCTGCTGTGCATCAGGATGTGTAGCTCATGTGCCTAGTCCATGTGAATGTACTGGTGTTTGCACAGCTTTGTACCTGGAAGAAATCACTAACTGCAGTATCTTGAAGGAAATAGAAATGTTAATTTTGGTGCAGCAGAGTGTGAAATAACTGTGCTGCTTCTGACTGCAGAGTCACTTTCAGGGTGTCTCATTTACTCCTGTGAATATTCATGTAATGTATATTAGCAAAACTCTGCTGTGGCTAGTGAGAATGATGAAGCACTAGTTGATTCTGTCATTTTAGTAGAAATTGTTTGAATAAGTTGTGATAAGCCTTTATGAGTTTGAACAAAAAAATCACTGAAGTTTGTGCTAAAAGACAAGTTGGGGCGATACTTGTCTGTTTCTGTATATTTCAGTGCTTTCTATTTTATTTTCAGATTGTCTTCTTGCAGTGTGGCAGATTTGTGGAGTTTCATTCACAACATGGCCATTACTACAAGACAAGAATACCAAAATTTGGTAGAGATTTCTCTTACCACTACCCATCATGTGACCTGTATTTCGTAGGAGCAAGGTATTAAGTGGACTATTTTGTTTCAGTTTTGTTAGCAGTGTTTTCCAATAATAAAATGAACATTAAAATATTAGAGAAGCTAAAAAGTGGAAAAAGTGCCAATTCCTTCCAAAACAATAAGGGAAATGGTGAAGAGTGGAAAATGTGGGAAGATTAAAATTAATTCAGTTTCCCATGCTATTTTTTTTTTATTCTTAAACCATGTATATCATGTATTTGCAAATTTGTATTAAAAACTGCAGGTCAGTGTATTGTTTTAAAAAGTATTTAGCATTTAAGGAAAATTAAATAACTTCCTATCCTTGTTGGTCTTTTATTGCTGTGAAGTGTGAGTTAAATCACATAATTGGGTTTCTGAAAAGATATGGTAAAAATAAAATTAGATTCTTAGGGTTTCAAGCAAAGTAAGTAGAAATTGAAGATGTAACTTAAATCACAGGAAATTAAAAGGTCTTGAGAAATGAGTTAATGTATCTTTTGCCTGGAAAAATAGTAATTGGTAGGATATTGAAGTATAATAAATAAATGGTGAGCATGCACATTTTTCTCTGTATTTTGAACACCAAAATATATATTTGTATTGTTGCAAATTGTGAATTCTGAAAATTGTATATTTGAAATTAGACTGTGAATAAGAATCTTTACAATGCCTCCAAATTTACAGCAGTGTTTTTCAGTATTTGCTGGACACAAGAGTAATTTTGGGTTTTTCTTTTGTAGTTCTGAAGTGTACAGGCTAAATCTGGAACAAGGAAGATTTCTGAACTCCCTGCAAACCGAAGCTTCGTAAGTCCTGTGTAATGCATGACCTCTGTCTTCTTTCCACCAGGTGGAAGCAGACTTCTAGCATGCTCACCACCAGTACTGAAAGCTGCCCAAATGCTTTGCACAGTTGAAAGTGAACATATGCTGAGTCTGAGTCTCATTTCATTTTATGTTCTGTAATTTTTTTGTTCTAGTTTTTATGTTTAATTGAATTTTCTTTTGTGGATGTTTTAAAATTGCTTAATATGGACTTAATAGGTATTATATAACTTGATCTTAAGAGCATTTCATTAAAACTTTGCCATTATTACTCAATTTAGCCATCATATAGAGATCTACCCACAGGGTATGTACTTTCCCAGACATGTCTTTGTCCTTCTGCTCTTGAAGTAGCCCAAAGAGAATTTTTATATCTCCAGCATGTGTCGGATTCTTTTGAAAACCCTACCAGAGTAGGAACTGAGCTTTTTTCATGTGGGGAGAGGCAGACAGACTTCACTAGATAGAGTGGCTTGTTGGTGGGCAGCAGCTGGTGGGCAGAATAGCTTAATGGATGAAGAAGTATTTGGGAAGGCACAATAAAAAACTGAGCAACAGGAGTTTAAAAAAGGGAAAATCCTGGAATGGGAGAGGTAAGGGTGTAAAGTAAAATCTGGATTAGAGAGATGAGACTGAAGTTGTGGGAAGGTTTTGAGGTGAGGGAGTTGGATGAGTTACAGAATTAGAGGTAGAGAGCTTTGAATAGAAGAAATTGGAAAGTGCTGGGATAAGTAGTGTAGAAAGGAAGAAATATTTGTACTTTGGAAGAATTGTTGTCGCAATACAGGGCTCTTGGGTGCCCTGCTGAGAAACAGAATACTTTGGTGAGAGAAAGGAGACCATTGGTCAGACACAACATGTTGGAGATGTAAGCTTTAGAACATAAGTAATCATAAGGATCTTTTGACATAATTAGAATCAGAGATTCATTTAGGTTGGAAAAGACATCTAAGATCATCAAGCCCAACCATTAACCCAACATGGCCAAGTCCACCACTAGACCATGTCCCCAAATGCCTCATCTACATGTCTTTTAATTATCCTCAGGGATGGTGATTGAACCACTTACCCTGGGCAGCCTGTTCCAGTGCTTGGCAGCCCCTTTCAGGGAAGAAATTTTTCCTGGTATCCAATCTGAGCCTGGCACACCTTGAGGCGATTTCTTCCAAGTCCTGTTGAGTTGTTTAAGAATACAGTGGAGCAGAGTGATGTGGCAGGGCTTGGTGGTAGGTGTTGGATATGGGCAGAGAAGTGCAGAGAGACTCAGAGCCCAGGCTGCTGTTCAGGGCACAGTCTCATGAATTCAGGTGAATTTTCTCAGAAGGGTCTTGGAAATTCCAAAGATGGAAATTTCTCAGCCTCTATGATTAACACATTCCAGTGCTTAATTATCCTTACAGCATAAAAATATTATCCGTAGTTCCATCCAGTTGGAACTTTACCTGTTTGAGGTCATCAGCACTGTCTCTGCCTCCAGATTTTTAGCAAGCTCCCCTTAAGTATGGGAAGCTGTTGCCATTTGTCCCTCCCTCCCTCCCTCCAGTTTTTGCTTTTCCAGGCTGAACAATAGTGTACATGATTGCAGAAATCTTATTAGTTGTTAATGTGTTAAATTGTTCTGAGGTCATTAAACTTGCTCCTTTTTCTGTTGTAGAGAGAGTAATGTCTGTGACATAAATCCTGTCCACTTCTTGTTTGCTATGGGGACAGCTGAGGTAAATGTTTGCATTCCTTTTATGAAAAGGGCAGTAGTGTTTGTTGCATTTTGTAATTAATTTGCAGGAGGAAAAGAAGAAATCATGAACCTAATTAATTTAATTGGTCTCATTTGCTATGGTAGATATAGATAATGTTAAAGATGACTTTTCAGAGCATAGTGCAGATAAAATATTGGAGTTACTTGGTTGCTGAGCACTTGAGATTTTGCAGACGGGAGCAAAAATAATGTTCTCTTATTTTGCAGTGTAGCCATCTGTAGAAACTAGCTGGCATGTGTACCCTATTAATCTTGAGAAAATTAGTGTTAGTGATTTTCATTTAGATTACATTGAAAAAACTACAAATGAAATGTGTGCACCCTGTATGTCATTATTAGAACAACTCATGTCAACCTAAGAAATTTTGTTAATTATTCCTTAGATTAGATAATTCATAATTTTATTTAAATGTTTTCAGACTACCAGGTATCTGCTGCATAAGCTTGAACCATGTTTTCTAAACTGTTTAGGGAAAAGTGGAATGCTGGGATCCTAGAACTAGAAATCGAGTTGGGCTGTTGGACTGTGCATTAAGCAGTGTGACAGCAGACACAGAGTAAGTAAAGGCTTCCTTTTCACTGGATTTTTCTGAAGTTTTTGTTGTTTTAGAAATAAATCCCACTTTGCTTTAAAATGACCTGCCTGTTCTCTTGTCATTGCTAGTGTGAATAAAGGATTTTCGTAGTCACAAAGAAGTTCTCTTAGACACTGATCTAAGTAGTAGTGGCTATTTTTGTATACAAATACACATTGTGAATGTAAACTGCAGCTTTTTGAAGTAGTATTTCTGAGTGAGACCTGTGAATTATTTTACTTAGCTAAGAATTAGCTTAGCTATTTTTAACATTAAAAGATTATTTACAGGCTTTATTGAAAGTATGCCTAACTGTAAGCATTGTGCTTTGCAGGATAGAAGGTTTGCCATCCATTTCAGCACTGAAATTTGATGGGGCTTTGAATATGGCTGTTGGAACATCTACTGGGCAGGTAGATTTGACTTCATGTACCACAGTTCTTAGGAGATCCTGCTCTTGAAATTCCCAATCCATGTCTATCAATACATTGAGTGCAGTATATATCTATTACTGCAAGTATTTATTAGTCCATAAGTTACAGGTATAGAGTAGTAATAGTCAAACTGCAATGTAATTTTATCAAATGCTTGTACTCTTCAGGATTTTGTAGGTACCACTTTAAATCATCGTAACCTACATACTCTACAACTGCAAATTTGCAGCTGACTTATGACTTGAGTCAAGTATGTGGGGAAGTTGCTGCTTTTTGGGGCTATGAGTACCATCTCAATGCAACATATGTGATCTCCTTCGTCTTAAAGTCTAGAAAACCAGAAATTATTGTCTTTCAACTGTTATTTTTAGTGTCTTAGCTTGACATGAAGACTAATTTAAATTCATTTGTTGTTGCCATCATATTTGTAAAGGGAAGTGTGGGGATTGTTTCCTGCCATCATCAGTATTTTCATGGGTTTAGAAAACTGTAGCTTCTTCAAGAACAGATATGTGTGTGAGAATTGTATTTGCTATGTTAGTGTACAAGTCAGACAAATTTTATTGCAGATGGTGTTTCTGATTAAATAAACTGATAATATTATTTTTCCCAAAGATTATTGTTATTCACACTTTACATATGAAAGATTTAATTTTCTCAAGTTCCATAGGAAATTTTGGAGATAAAATACAAGTTTCTGGAAGACAGGGTCTGTACTCTCTACTTTCCTTGACATAAAAAAATTACATTCTGTGGTGTTCCACTGAGGGAAAGTTATATTCACTGAATCTGGAAGGGAGTCTGAAAATTTAAATCATGTAACAACAACACAAGAATCCGAAAGTGAAATATTACTAATTATGAAACACTAAGAGTATTGAAAACAAAAAAAAGGTTTATTTTTTTCAATAGAAATTAAAAAGTCTTTAGAAAGATGATTAGGTCTTAAATTCATTAATTTTTCTTGATGGAAGCATGCTGATGTTAAAATACTAAGTTAGAATAAACTGGGCTCACTTAATAAGTTGTTTTCAGAATTCAAAATTAGTTATTTTATGTAAATCCTGCCTATGTAAGTAAAATTTCAAGTTTAGCTAAATGTTTAGTGAAGATCTGATGGGCATGACTTCCTCATGGTCTTACAATGTTATAAATTTAATTTGTCTCTTATTCTTCAAGGTCCTATTATATGATCTTCGGTCTAGTAATCCATTAATAGTCAAAGATCACCACTATGGCCTGCCTATTAAATCCATTCAGTTTCAGCATCAGTTGGATTTAATTATCTCTGCGGATTCTCGAATCATAAAAATGTGGAACAAAGATACAGTAAGTAGTTTTATGTTACTGCATTCAGATTTTTAAATTTTTACTTTATTTGGGTTGGGAGTTTTGGGGGATTTTATTTTGGCTTGTTGTTTTTGAGTGGTTTTTGTGCAGCTTAATTAATTAAGCTGAAATTCAGTGTAAGAAGTTGAGGTTTTAATGTCTCTTAATTTACATAGCGTTTTGTCCTGTCTGAGTAAATCAGCATCTGGGAAGTTATTCAATAGCCTGTCAGGTATAAAGATGTAGTCTCAGGGGGTTTTTAGCTGTTTGTACATGTCTGGCCAAGAGGCTTCTTTCAGGCGAAGGATTTAAACATAAAAAGTAGTATCTTAGCCATTGCCTTGGTTTGTATATTTCTCACTATTTTCTTGAATACATCCAGTTAGGTTTTTCCACCAGAGAAAACATGTTCATTCCAATTCCCTGCTCAAAGTAGGGTTTATTTCAAAGGTAAATCAGTTAGTTAAAGACCTACTAAAATCAGGTACTGCTTATTTTCACAGGATCCTATTTGGCTACTGAAGCAGATACTATGCAGGGAGCCAAATAACAGTGTGTCTTAATAACACTGTATTAGGGGATTATGTTGCAATGGGCAATGTCTTTATCCTTGCCCTTTGCACCTCTAAGTGAAACTGTAAGCTCTAATTTTCACTCTTTCACTCTCTTTCACTCTTTTCATTATATCATGCTGTCCTCTTTCTTATCTTTCTGTCAATGAACCTTACTATGACTCTGTGGGGCAGCATATTTTGTTACCCCAGAGATTCATAGTAACACTATTGTAACTTGTTTTGCTTTGAGGGGATGTCTGTAGTCATTGTGTTCCTTCTAAAAAACATGCTCCATTTATGCTTTTCTAACTTTATAGTGAAACATAAGGAGAGTTGTAGTAGAGGCTTTTTTTCCTAATTATTTCAGGCAGTCACTTCAGTATTGTTGTACTGCCTCATGAACTTTCAACAGCCTCATTTATTTTTTCTGTGATCGCAAGTAGTTTTTTGTAAGCTCCTCTGCAGTTAATTGTTACTGTTTGAAAGAGCAAATAAATTATTGGTTATTATTTAAAACATCTGCTGTGGCCTCTCTCCATTTTTCCTAGGTATGTATATTTCCCTCCTTGAGAATGAGGCTCTGTAAGGTTTGTCAGGTGGCCTCTGGTGGGAAAAGGGAGGGCTTCTCACCGCTGGAAAGCAAAGATAGCTTTGGACTCTTTCCTAGAGTATGTTCCAGCTGGCTCCATCTGTCCCAGCTGCTGGTTCCTGACTACCTCTGGCCAGGAACCAAGTGCAGAGGCAGACTGCGGGTGGAGAGCATATGGCTTTGATACCAGAATAGCCCCATGCTGAGACGTGCCTTGGGGTGGGGAGCACCAGGCTTTTGTCTGCTGAGGCCAGGGTGGAGGAGGACTCCTCTTAATCATCAGGGAGAGACCAGAGGTGGGTGGGGTAACAGCATGTAACTGGGAGGGAAAGGAAGGGCCCAGAAAGGTAGGTGGGATTGCTGCAGGGAAAGAAAAAAAAAAAGAGGAACAGGATCAAAATTTACCTTGTTCCTGTCCCTCATTTAGAATTGTGTAGGCATGTAGTCTCATGCTTCAGATTATGTGGTCCAGTTGTTAGAGACTGTTCCTTTACTGGCTGTTTTGTGTGTTGGCTTATAAGAGCACCTGTATTTTGTCTGGGTTTTTCAGACTGTGTTCCAATTATTATTTTGAGAACATTGTTTCCTGCTTTTACCTCTTTCTTAAGTAACCTTTATAACTTCAATTCTGATCTAAGCTAGACACCACTGTATGCTCTTAGTGCTTTTATTTTATATCAAGACCTCTTTAATGATGAGTTTATAAATCATAAATAAAGTGCTGAGCTATATTTCATTTCATGTAGACATTAGTACAAGTGGAAGAATCAAGCTCCAGATTCAAATTCTACTCCTAATCCATTTTCTCAGCTAATCATACTTAGCAAAGTAAAATTATTTAAAACTTCCACATTCATAGTTGAATAAAGTGAGGGTTACACTGACAGTGTGCCCAGAATTTGTGGACCTCAGCCTCACTTTTGCATAAAATAAAGTAAATCTGACATATATTTTCAATACAGAAGTGTAAGCTGAGAAATTAGGGGTGCCACTGTACATTGCTGTGTCTTCAATTACCAGTAGGCTGCACTTCCTTGTAAGAGAATGAATCAGAGATAAAAGACAATACTGTCTTCCTTGTGTTATGTTCAGATATTAATAACATTTTATTGTTCCATCTTTATTCCATCATGTTTCTTAGCTTCTATAGTAGCTATTGTTAATGTTTAGATTTACTGAATTTAATTATATTGTTTGGAGTTTTTTATGATTTATTTTCTTCCTACAATTTCAGGGAAAGATATTTACTTCAATGGAGCCAGAACATGATATAAATGATGTCTGCCTTTATCCAAATTCAGGTATGTTAAGTATATTAATGTCTTGCTAAATTCAAAAGGAAAAGCTTGTTAACCCAAGGTGTGGTCTTTGTTTAGGTGATACAATTTAGGTCTACTTTCCTCCTTATGGGAGAACTTAGAATAAAGGGTTATTTGTCGGTTAGTGTCCTTGTTTCCTTTGCATCTGTATTATATAGGAGCCTCTTTGCAGTTAGAAGCTGCTGTGCTGTTAATTGAGTGATTGGCCTCTTTTACTCCTTCAAATATCTGAAGTGACTCATTTTATAATAAGGAGTTTTGGCCTATTGTCTTGACTAAGTCCCAGATGGGTTAGAGCTTGCTTCCTAGAGGTAGGAAAAACCTCTTTACAGCAGATTTACACTTTTTTTTCAAGTGTTTCAAGAATTTGATCTTTCCTTGATTTAAATACAGCACTTAAATTGTGCCATCCCTTAGGTTTATTACTTTGGTTTTAAGTGTAGATTCCTAAGTGCACAAATTTGCATGGTTTTTGTGATTTTTTTTCAGATTTGTTGCATCTCATAATGTTATGTTCAGAGATCAAAACTAAGGATCACTTTTAACCAAGGTTTCTGGGACTTTAATTTATGAGTAAAAATATTTTACAGAGTTATTGAGATAAGATCCCAATATTACCGGGTGGAACGTGCCTGGGCTCGTCTGGCCCTTGCTGCTTGACCAGAGGCGCAGCTGAGATAGTTTTCACCCCAGAGACACCTTTGGCTGGCTGGATGTGGCAGCTGGCACTTGGAACAGGCCCAGGCATGCAGGAACTCAGTTTTACCTCTGGTGGAAAGGCTTCAGGCGATGGTGAAGGGAAAAAGGAGACGGATTCTGCCAGAGGGTTTAATCCAGAGTTTTATTCCAGGATCACAGACATCTGAATGTTGGTAACAGCTCCAACAGAATGCAAACTGCATGGTCCCCGTGTCTTTTAAGCCCAGGGAGAGGGGGAGGGAAGGGGTAGGTGTGCCACCAACCAGTTAGGAGGGGGGAAGTCTCAGGGGACAAATGACATTTGGATGGCCCAATTGTCCCCAGGGCTGAGAGGCATCTTTTGAGCTTCACCAATACTATGTCTTTGCTGGCCTACTGAGATTGATGGACAGCTCTCAGCAGGAGGCAAGGGGAGGGGAAGGGAGAAGGTACTGGCACACCTGAGGGAGGAACTGGTATAGCTAAAACAAGATATTGCATCACACTGCAACACAGAGTGATGGTTGTATGTGCATATATGCTTTGGTTGTACTTCAGATTGCAACTGGACTTAATTTTCTTGCTTAATATGAGTTGCTTTAGTTCTTAAGTATGGTGTGATGCCTACTTCCTTTTTAGAAAGCAGTACTGAAAAGGATGAAATAAGTTAGGGCTGCTAGGATGGCACAGAGCAAAAGTCTGGAAACAGACAATGCCTGAGTTGCAAACTGCTATTATCTTAATTTTAGAGAGAGGTAGCAGTAAAGACAGAGCAACTTGGACTTTGATTCATACTAGCAGCTCAAATTTAAGATTGTAGATAAGTGAGTGTGAGATTTCTGGCAAGTTAAAACTTATCTGTCTTTTCTGCCAACTTCAGTTAAGAATGGGTTGGAGGTTTTTCTTTTTTTTTCCTTTTTTTTTTTTTTTCCTTTTTGGGGTAAGATGAGCAATTAAATACACTTCCCTGATAAGATGGTGGGCATTTTTGACCTTATGAGCAGAATACATGCCATGTGCACTGGTTGAATGTAGGAGTTCAAGTGGGTGTATTGAGAATTATTGCATGGTGACAGGGTGGACTGTGCACCCTGGAGATGGATAAACCCTCATCCATAGTGGCTGCAGGGAGAGATTGTTGGAGTGACTGATTTTCAGCCTTTCACCGAGGTTTTACCTGTGAGCTTATTGGTTGCATCTAAAAGAGAGCCCAGCAGCAAATTAACATCCACACAGCATGAATGAAGAGCTCACCACAGGGAATGGAACAGAAAAAATTTATTTGTCAATGTAGAATCATAGTGTAATTTAGATTGGTAGGTACCCCTGGGAGTTGTATATTTCCTACCTAAAGCAGTGCCAACTTGAAGTTAGATCCAGCTTTGAAGTCTGATCAGATTGCTCAGGTCAAGCCAAGTTTGAATATGTCAAGGATGGGCATTACTCAGCTGTAGATAATCTGTAGCCTTTGTGGTATGTGGGCATGACTCGTGTGCTTTTGCAGAAATGATTTTCATGAGACTTTGCACGACAAATCTTATAGCACAAAGAATTGAATGCACACATGTCCCTGATGTTGCTATTGGACATTGCTTTTCACGAGTCTGTGACTGAGATCTAGATTGTGCAGTCCAGTTCTGTGTCCTACATCTGCTTATTTTAGTGCTGCTTTTCCTATTGTCTGTAGGGAGACAGGTTGATGGTTTTGGTAAGAACTGTTGTGGGAAGAAAACTGGGTTGTCCTTTATAGTCACATGGAGACAGTGGGGTAAAAACAAGAGCATGTTGCAATGGAGAGATCAAGGGTAAGAGGTGGTGCATTACATGCTCATCATAAGTACTGTTGGACCAGCACTTAAGATGCCTTAGAACCACCTCATGCTTGTTCAGAGTTTAAGGAATAATCATGACTGAAGATCTGAAAATAAGGAAATGCTTTCAGTAAAACAGGCTTGCAGTTGTGGAAAGGTGGAAATATAACATGATTTCAGTATCAGTATGGTTTGGCTCAGTGCCCTTACTGGTGCCCCAGCATTCTCAGAGCCCCTCTAGATGCATGGCACAGGAAAGCCAGGAGATCTTTGCCTAGCTTGTGTTTTAACACTTCATGTGTCACTGCTGCTCAGAAAGGCAAAATACCCCATTTTCACTCTCCTATTGGAGAGATAAGGATTTGATGGATGGACTATTCAGGGGATGAGGAATTGGTTGGATAGTCTCATCCAGAAGGTGTAGTGGTTAACAGTTCCACGTCCAAGTGGAAATCGGTGACAAGTGGTGTCCCTTAGGGTTCTGTACTGGGACAAGCTTTATTTAGTATCTTCATCAATGACACAGAGAGTGGGATTGAGCTGTCTCAGCAAATGGCAGATGACACCAAGCTGAAGGATGTGATGCCATCCAGGCATACTTGGACAACCTTGAGAATTGAGCCCATGGGAATCTCATCCAAACCAAACTGTTCTATGGTTCTATAATTCTATCAGTTACTGTAAACTCAAGATCAGTATACTGTGAACTGGGTTTTTTGGTGGTATTTTGTCATAGCTAGGCATTTTTAATTAAATTATTTTACCAACCAGCTTCAGTATTAGTACCTTTCCTGGGAAGCAAACCCTTGTATATCTTTGACCAAACTACATGATGACAAATTTCAGTGGATCTCTTAATAGTTGAATATCTTCCTCTAATCACAAATGAACAGAATGGGGGTAGGGGAAAAAGATTTACTTACTGAGTCCATTTAGCCTTTAGTCAATTTAAGTTGTAGAATATAAATGAAACTTGACAGTATCTCCAGTGATAGAAATCTGTGTCCAGTTACTGTAAGAAAAATTAAAAGGTAAAAATCTGCATTTTCTAAAACTGCTGCTCCTACATATTCTCACTTCATACTCCCATTTTTATTCTTTTACATTCATGATACTTTATTGCAGACCATTTTCCAGAGACGGTCTTAGTAAAACTTCTGAAAACAGCCTCTCCTTTATTTCTCTTCTACAGTAATCAAACTAGGCTGTTATGTAGTTTGTTAGGGTGTGGTTTCTCTTCCCATAAAAATTGATTAAAAGTAACAAGCTAAAGCAATAAAAATGCATGGAATAGACTTCTCCTTTAAGAGTCATTAACTTTCATTCTTTTATTTCCCTTGTAGTATACACTCAAATACTGTTCAGAAGTCTGTTTTTGTCCTCCTTTGATTATTGGTGGAAGACTCTCAAAGAGGAGGTTTTACTTCACTGTCATCTTTGAAGCATCTGCAGAATTAATTTCTGTCTTTATTCCTAATGATTCCTATTCAGTCAATGGAAAGATGCTTTGTCTTATAAAATAGTAGTGAGTGTGCTGTTAGGGAAGCATGCATCTTGTACACTATACTGGAGTACTCTGTGTGTGTATTCAAGCATATGCTGTAAATTCTTGCTTTTTCCTTAAATTGTCTGCAAACCTTTCCAGGCACAGTTTTTTAGTCTGTTTGCTGACTAAGCTTTCACAAATATTTTGCTTTGCTGGGAAAGCAAGCCCCCTTTTTTCTGACATTATAAGTCCAGCTGCATTGTGTATTTATAATAAAAGGATTAGGTAGGAAGGATTACTCCACCCATGGTAATTGCATTCCTCTACTTGGGTGTAAATTAAATTTCTGCCCTCTGGGTGTGTAGTAATTGACCCAATTATTCATAGTCTCAGTGGCATATGTTACAATTCTTTCAGATCAGAATGTTACCTAATTTGATGGCACTTTTCTTCTTCATAATCAATCTTTTGTATTACCTGTTGATCGGCTACTTTGGAACGACTGAATTGAGATAAACATAAAAGTATATGGCAAATGTTCTTATTACTCTTTTATGTAGGAGGAAATTGAGAGTGTTCTTCATTTTGAACTTACAAGAAGTCTTGTGGCAGTAGGAGATTTTCCACAGATTTTAGTATTCCCACAGTATTTTTTTTTTATATTCAGAGTATGTAAACCCCTTATTCGTGGTGTTTCTTGGGTATATTCATAGATACTTCAAGTTCTACATTTGCCCTGCTTGGTTATAGGACTAGTATTACTCCTTTTGAAGCCACAGTGTCCTATATCTCATTTTGGGTTGAGAAGCTGCTGTTGTATTTATTTCCCCAGATGAAATATGAATGAAGGTGTAAACCATGTTATGATTTATAGCTCTGTTGAGGTGTGTTAAAAAAAAACCAAATAACCACATGTTCTAATACCAATGTATTAATAATGCAATTTTATGTCCAATGTGGTTTTGAACGGCAATACCAATGTATTAATAATGCAGTTTTAAGTCCAATGTAGTTTTTAACTGCAATACTAAGTGGACTTGTTCTAAACAGTATTAAGGGATGAACTGTTCATATTTGTTATGAAAGTTGGCAGCCTGCACTTGTCAGAGCTTAGTGGTGTGCAAAGTGGTGCTGAACAATTAAGATAGAAGACAAAAGGGAATGAATATATAGAAAATTAAGCTTTGTTAATTAGGCTGATACTACACCTTTCTTTCTGTGGTATTTGATGTAACAATTTATTACAGATCTTGATTAATGTCCATTGCAAGCCAAGAATATGTATTTTATGAGCTTTTTTTAAAAACAGTATGATTCTCTTCTGATCAATATTTTAAATGTGGAAATCTCTTTTTAGGAATGCTAATGACTGCCAATGAAGCCCCTAAAATGAATATCTATTATATACCAGTAAGTAATACAAGTTGTTACTGATATTGCTCCTAAAGACACAATTGTTTGGTGCCATTCAGGTATTTCAGTTGAAATTCATATCTACATTGTCTGAGTTGTCACAATAAAGTACATTTAGGGTAACCATAATTTATTAATGTAACACGTTTAATTACTTAAAAAACCTGTAATTTGCTTTTTGCTACCAGTTTCAAAACTGGTTAGTGGCTGCAGAAAATTCAGGTAGAGCTTTTTTTGATAGCTGATGAAAAATAGGATCTATGTTTTTCAAGATAATAATTTTGCTTTGTTGTGAAATATTTTATTAGTGTCTTTAATATGTGGTGTACAGTGACATAGTCATAGCAGTAAATATTCTTTGTTCTGACAAAGTGATGCTGTGTGACTTCAGGTACAACTCTTGACTGTAGCTTCTGCTCAATGCCCTTCAAATGCAGTTTTTCACAGGATAAGCTTTCCACTTGAAAGGCTTAACTGTAGGTTTAACTACATGTTTTATCTCTGCAGATTGGTTTTAGCAGCAAGCCTTCTGGTGTCAGGGAATTATACAGAAAATTACACCTGAATTTCTCTCTTGGTTTAGTTTCTACAGTGTGTTCTCTAGAGGTTTTCTTGTTCTGATAGAAGATAAATAGTAGGATACCTATGTAAATTTTACATGCAGAATGGCTGACCAGATTCTAAAAATACATAACTTCTTAATTAATTTTATTCACGTTTTGGACAAACTATAAAGTTTATTAATATTGAAATATATATTTTACTGTTTTTTAAGTGAGCCAAAAAGTCTTCATTTAGCTAATCGATTTTAAATTAATTTAAATTTAATCTTTTTCAGTTCATTTCTGGTCATCCCCCACTCCCATATCCACTGTGTATGATTTTGATTATGTTCAGGATAGATATTTATGAGTTTACATTTCTCTTAATGAAATAGAATATATATACATGTTGTATTTGTGTGTCTTAACACAATAGTATACCCCTCTAAACAATTCTGTAGTCTGGTATATTTACTTACATTATTAGGTTTTTGCATTTAAAGAGATGTGGCATTTTATACATGAGTTATGTCAGGTTGTTCTTTGGTTGTGAAATGCCTGTTTCTGTAATTCAGCTCTACCCAGCTCACCTTTTGTTAACTGCAGTGTTCCATGCTTTGAGTGAGAAAGGGAGACAACAAATATTTTTTTATCTATGACAAAATATTAGCTGTATTTAGAAGATGAACACTTTCTTTCCATTTACCTTGTCCTTTGTAAGGTTGAGAAAGTAGCTCTCCAAGCATTTTTTTTCCTTTATCGTCTCTTTTAATTAATGGATTAGGGAACACAAACTCACGTATTTTTGAAATCTGATGAGAGTTTTTGAAACTGGAATGGACTAGTTAGTCAATTTAAATAATCCAGATGTAAAAAGCATTCCTTCTGTCACCAAAGGTAAGGTTCAGCTTCTCTCTGAAAATTGTGCACTGAGATTATGTTTTATGCAGGTGTGCATGATACATGAACCTGACAGCTATAGCACATGAGCAGTTCACATCCAACTTAGCCAAAAATTTATTTCATTGTCTTGATTGTCACCAGTGATGAATGTTTGTTATAACTTGTTCAAGCTAGCATTATTTTGAGTATTCTTGCACAAATTGTAAATCAAAATGAAAAAATACTTACTTTTTGCTCTCTCAAAAATCTCTCATAGAATCTTCTGTGAGTACTGAATTTGTGTTTCTGAAGTCAGACAAGTAATTTTTAGTTAAGAATTATAAACATTCTGTATTAGATCTTAGATCATACCTAGAGACAATATTGCAAACTTAAATACTGACTAATACTATCTAGTATTTTTGCAGCATGTAGGTTATTCCAGTGAAGATTAACATAAGTCTTGCCCTAAACCATCTTCCTGTGTGACCATCCCCTGATTTTTGTTACCTGAGTCTGCCTAAACTTGTTTGGATGGTCCCTTTTTATGGGTTTTACACTCACAGTGACATGAGTATACAGATGGACCCAAATGATGAATTAAAAGCATAAATCCAAATATGAGTTCTATATTTGAAATATTGTTGTATACAAGAAAATTTAAAATTTATTTTAAAGGCTACTGCCCAGCTTAAATTGGCTTTTCAAATAAGCTAAACTTCTCCAGTTTGTGTCAATGGCTTTGAGTTTGAAGGCTGTTGAAAATACCTGAAGTACTGTTGTTACTTTTTTAGTTGACAATCTGTAGTTCATTTCAAAACATGTAATACTTACTTTAGACAATAGAAAAGTTAAATAGCAGTGAGAAGAAATTACTTTGAAATAGAGACAGAAATATCACACGCTGGTCTGATTTTTTTACCCTGTGCCTTTCTACAAGCAAGACAGAAGGGGCTGGCACAGCCAGTGTTGCATAATTGAAGGGTGTTTTACTACATTTCCTAAAAATCCCTCACGAAATCTGTGTTTGTTGGCTGTTTTGTTTACTTTTTAATCTACCTTTTAAATGACGAAAATATGAAATGGACTACTTGTGTCAGCCTTCAACTGCTCCAGGGCTTTTTTTATTAAGGAAAACTTAATGTTATTAATATGTTCATGTTACAGTTTTATTCCTTGATCTTCCAGACTAGTTATTTGAGCTCAGAGTAGCACACCTGTCCTTTGGTTTCTCTGTCAGTAGATGATTAATACGTGTGTTTTTTCCATCCTTGGAAGACTTACTAATTTCTTTGCACAGGCAAAGTTAAGTTTAGTTATATGGGTCTTTGGAGCAAAACTTTGAAGAACTGTATTACTTGATCTCTTTTCATGGTGTCATTTTCTATCTTTTCCTAAGAACTAGGATTCACAATTTTTTTAATGAGTAACTTAATTTTCTCTTTGTTTCTTTAAGGTAGACTTGAATAGTACTAAAAATGTGTCTTTTGTCTTTGAGATGTTGACAGGAACTGAGTTACAAGTCTTGTTGATTTCTGCAACAGAATAGATGCCTGGGAGAAATGCTACTAAGTGCAAAGGACAGTTATGTAAATAAAATCCATTCAATTGCCCGTGCCCGTCATTGGCCTGTAGTGCTAATAATTATTCTCTTGTTTTAAATGCTCCTTGGAACAGCTATAAGGAATTGCCTTGCCAGCTATAAGGCTATGATCAAGGAGGATACTTCAAATCCCAAATGTATGGTCCTGTGCTCTATGTAAGGAGAAAAGAATTCACAGCAGTAGGAGTCTTGCAGAGCAGTGTATGCATAGATGGGTGCAGACAGACCCAGCATCCACTGTCCATGATTGGAGTTGGCCAGACAGTGCAGGACTGTGCCCAGCCCAGCATGCCCAGCCTCTCAGCAGGTTTTATTGGTGTGGGCACAGTGCTGTGCTAACACAGATCATGACTGGTGAACTGGAGCTGGCTCATGTCCGGCCAGCTTGGAATGTGCTCTGGCTGAGCTCATGTCTGACTGAATTATCTGTGTACGTGTGCCCGTTCTCTCCACTGTTAACGCCAAAGCTAAATTTCCATTTCAAACCCAAAAAATTACTCTTGAACTTCAGGATTATAAGAGTTTTGACAGTCAGTATCATAATATTACTTGTAAAAGAAATGGCATGCATCAGCTTTTCCTGCAGGAGTTTCATCAGGGTGGGTATGACAGTTGAGACTAGGAATGTCTGAGAACATCGCGTTTCTTATAAAGAAGTAAAAAATCACTGCAGTTTTTTCTTTTGTGTGCAAAGCTGTAAGTAGAGGAAGTACAAGGTGATTTTTTTGTTTTCTAGAAAAGACAGGCAGGTTTGATTTTCAATGGCAAGATACCTCATATAGGTACAAAGTACAGAGTGACCAAAAAGCAAATTGAATCTGACCCTTGAAATGACATGTTTGTGTTACATAGGTAACATTAGTGGCTTAGCTTAGAGACTTTGTTTTTGTTTTATTTTGCTGGATTTAATGAGGGCAAGTGCCTCTGAATTCCTGACTGGAATTGGGCTGTTTGCCATTAGTTTAATAGCTAACTTGCAGTTTATGCAAACGTTTGGAACCCGCTTCTTGCCAGCTGGCTTCCTGGTTCATCACTTTGATGTGTGCCTCGAGAAGGTTGAAATGAAAGTTGTATGTGCCTTGGGATAGTTTTTAGACTACTGACTCAGAAACATAAGTTGATTCAATAGTGCAAGCAGGTCCTGGCCAAAGAAGTGAAGAGAGCAGAATTTCCATTGACACATGGTGGTCCCTGACCTGGGATCTAAGATGAGTCAGATTCTCTTTAAGCTTAATTGAGGCTGTCATGTTCCATAACATACAAGGTTCTGTTTGAAGGTTGTGCAGAAGGTGCTCTGGGTGGAGAGCAGGGGGCATAGGTTTTACTCTTAGTGTTTACTTCTGGTTACACAAACTTGTCTGATCTTAGCACAGATGTTGCAAATCAGTCCTGTCTCATTTATTGGACTTGAAACTTTCGGCTACATGAACATACTGAAACTGAAACTTGCTCTATTCATTAGGCTGTTAAAAGAAGAGAGCAATTAAGCATGTAATTAATTGAGTGTAATATTCTGTGTTCTGGATTTTTTTTACTTTCCTGCAGTCTTGGCAGAACACTCCCTGTTGAGGCTAGAAGCAATGTACTTTTGGTGTAGTGAAGATATTAAGCTCTTAAAGGAAAAATAAATCCTGGAGCATCTCTGGCTTCTTTTCAGGTGGTTTTGGAAAATAATTTGATATCCTAGCACTCCTCTAGTTCAGGGCTGTTGGAGTTATAAACTGGAAATGTTTCAAGAGCAAGTATTTCTTGCCTACTCAATGATTCAGTTTCTCCAAGAGTATAAGGGTTCTGGTTTCTCATACAATACCTACTTTGGATATGTGGCTGTCCCTATTGTTAGAAATATGAATTTTGTCCTCTTAAAATCATGTGGCTTTTCAGCTAAACCAGCCATTGCTTGCCTTTCATACATTCTTTAATTTCTTTAATTGATTTTGTTTTCCCTTTTTTTTTTTGACACTCCTCTA